CGAGCTTGCGGTTCGTGGTCCCCCTCTGGGCCCCCTCTTGGGCCCGTCTTGGGGCCCTCTTGGGCCATCTTGGGCGCCTCTTGGGCCGTCTTGGGGCCCTCTTGGGCTGTCCTGGGGCCCTCTTGGAAGCTTCTTGGGCCGTCTTGGGGCGGTCTTGGGCGCCTCTTGGGCCGTCCTGTAACGTCGGAAAGCCCAAAAGACAACTTTGTTGAAAATGTACGTTTTACGAAGGGAATGGGCCAATTTTTGCGTCTAGGGGCCCTCTTGGGACGCATGTTGGAGGCTTCTTGGGGCCTCTTGGGGGCGTCCTTGGACGTCTGGGGTCTCCTGGGGCCTCTTGAGGGGCCTCCTGGGGGCCTCCTGGCGGCCTCTTGGGGCGGAAGGCTCGAGCTTGCGGTTCGTGGTCCCCCTCTGGGCCCCCTCTTGGGCCCGTCTTGGGGCCCTCTTGGGCCATCTTGGGCGCCTCTTGGGCCGTCTTGGGGCCCTCTTGGGCTGTCCTGGGGCCCTCTTGGAAGCTTCTTGGGCCGTCTTGGGGCGGTCTTGGGCGCCTCTTGGGCCGTCCTGTAACGTCGGAAAGCCCAAAAGACAACTTTGTTGAAAATGCACGTTTTACGAAGGGAATGGGCCAATTTTTGCGTCTAGGGGCCCTCTTGGGACGCATGTTGGAGGCTTCTTGGGGCCTCTTGGGGGCGTCCTTGGACGTCTGGAGGCCATCTTCAGCATCTCGGAGCCCTCTTGGAGGCCTCTTGGAAGTTTCTTGGGCCGTCTTGGGCGCTCCTGGGGCCGTCTTGTCTGACCGGGGAGGCCTCCGGCAAGCCCCGACGAGCCTCCGGGCCCCCCGGAGCCCACATTTGTGGTCGAGGTCCCGGCCCCGGACCCCCGGACCCGGTGCGCCGTTATATGTGTGTATATGTATATATATATATATATATATATATATATATATATGTGTTTTCGCGATCGCCTGAGTAAATTCACGAATGAGCTGCCCCTCCATTGTCATGGGGACCTCCATTCGGCACACCCCTCACGCAGGCCGTCAATGCTGGGCGCTCGGCTGGCCCCCCCGAGGCGGCCGCTCGGCGCCTCCACTCGGCACGCCCCTCGCGCACGCCGTGCCCCGTGGACCCCCAGAGGCCCGCAGCTGGCATCCAGGACCGCCTGAGTCCCCCCCAGGGGGCACATATACGCCCCAGAGAAACGCGGCATGGATCGGTGCCGACTCTCGCCGAGGCAACCTCCCTCAGAGAAGAGGAGGAGGAGGAGGAGGAGGAGGAGGAGGAGGAGGAGGAGGAGGAGGAGAGGAGGAGGAGGAGGAGGAGAGGAGGAGGAGGAGGAGGAGGAGGAGGAGGAGGAGGAGGGCGGAGAAGGAGGAGGGTTGCCAAATCAGCGTACGAACTTCCCCCTAGGGGCCCCGCCGTGCCTCCCGCTCCGCGGGCTCAAATCTGCGGGCCCCCTTGAGGGCCCCCGCCGCGTCAGCCTGCGGGACAAGATGGGGACATGACGCTGGGCTTCGGCAAGCCTTCGAGCGCAAGGCATCTCCGCCTCGGAGAAAGCATGGGGAATCCAGCCACGCGTGGCCCGGGCAGGAGGCGGGCGCGGGGGCGAAAGCCCGAGGTGGCCCGCCTGGCAAGCCGAGGGACCAGGCAAGAAGCGTCGGCATAATATTACACCAGGGAACACCGCAAGCAGTGGATGGTAAGAGTATTAGTGATATGGGCATTGAGATCGATTGCGAGATCGATAATGAGATCGATAGTGGATCGATCGTGAAGAAGATAGTAAGGTCGATCGTGAGACCGATATTGAAGTCGATTCAGTGAGATCGATAGTGAGATCGATCGTGAGATCGCTCGAGCGATCCATGGTAAGATCGATTGTGAGATAGATTGTCAGATCGAGTGTGAGATCGATAATGAGACCGATCCATCAGGAGATCAGAGATCGACCAAGAACCCGGGAACCGGGAAACCTCAGATTGGTAGTCCCCAAACGTGGTGGTGACAACACCTGGCGGTGAATCTCGGGCGATTTGGTGGAGGACACCCGGTTTGGGGACTCGTGCGGTTTTCCGAGGATGTCCCGGACACTGGTGGGTCCAGGAGTCACAAAACCCGGTGGTGACCCCGCGTCCCCAAACCCAGCGGTGACCTTTTTGGGGATTCCAGGTCGCCACCTGGTGTCTCACCACCTGGTTTGGGGGCCACCAATCAGAACCCGCCCACCGAAATCGGCCCGGAACCAGCCACTGGGAGCCCGGGACCCCGGAACCGGGAGCCCAGGAGCCGGACCGCCCACCGAACCATCGGCCGCCAGCTTAGCTTTCGCCAGATCCGGGAGCGGCCAAGAGGGGGGTGTCCAAGAGGGGGGTGTCCAAGAGGGGGGGGTGCAAACCATGACCAGCGGCAAGTGCGCGGCCCAGCGGGGGGGCCAGGGACGTAATGAAATCAGAAGAGGCGCCCTGAAATCTGGGGAAATCTGGGGAAATATCATGGCCCACGCCATGATATCCACCCCCCCTAGTCATCACCCCCCTCTTTGCCGCCCCCGACAGATCCCGCAAGATCCGACAGGACCTCTTCAGCGCAGGCGCCGAGTGGGCGCTGCTCCACAAAGCGGGAGCACAAGCTCTCGCAGGACCGTTCGGGCTGCTCGCGTCGGCCCTGCAGCCCCCCCCCCGCTCCCCTTCCCTGGGCGCGCGGCGCGAGCCAGGGGGCGGGCGGGCGCCGCCGCGGGCGAAGCGCGGAGCGCGAAGTGCGAATAACGTCGCGCTCTCGCGCCGCCTCCCAGGGGAGGAGGAGGATGAGGAGGAAGAGGAGGAGGAGGAGGAGGAGGAGGAGGAGGAGGAGGAGGAGGAGGAGGGAGGAGGAGGGGGAGGAGGATGAGGAGGAGGAGGAGGAGGAGGAGGAGGAGGAGGAAGGAGGAGGAGGAGGAGGAGGAGGAGGAGGAGGAGGAGGAGGAGGAGGAGGAGGAGGGGGAGGAGGAGGAGGAGGAGGAGGAGGAGGGGGAGGAACCGCGGAGGAGGGAGGAGGAGGAGGAGGAGGAGGAGGAGGAGGAGGAGGAGGAGGAGGAGGAGGAGGAGGAGGAGGAGGAGGAGGAGGAGTCGCAGCCGAACCGCGCAGCGCGCACACCTTCGCGCCCTCGAGGGCGCCCTTGGGGACACGGGCGAGAGCGCCGACCGAAAAGCGGCCCGCTCGGATATCCGAGGGCTCGCCTCCGGGTGTCGCCGGGTGGCCTCCCAGCCCCCAAAAGGGGAGGGGGAGGAGGGGGGGGTAGGAGGAGGGGGAAGGGGGGGGGAGAAGGGGGAAGCGGCAGACGGGGAATCGACGGAGGGGAAGGAGGACGAGGAGAAGGAAGAGGAGGAGGAGGAGGAGGAGGAGGAGGCGGAGGAGCAGGAGGAGGAGGAGAAGGAGAGGAGGAGGAGGAGGAGAAGGAGGAGGAGGAGGAGGCGGAGGCGGAGGAGGAGGAGGAGGAGGAGGAGGAGGAGGGGAAGGAGGAAAGAGGACGGACGAGGAGGAGGAGGAGGAGGAGGAGGCACGCGCGCGGCGGAGTAGCGCAACTGAGACAACCAGAACGTGCCACTTTTCGGCCACGGCTCAGCTCACAAGCCTGACCCGGTATCCCCTCGGGGCAGAAGCTGCGGCAGCTCGCGCGCGAAGCGGAGCGATCCCCAAACGACCCCAAGTTGTGCTTACGCAACATCCCGGTCACGTACCTTCGCCCATCCCACACCCCGCGATGAGCCGCGCGCGGCTATCCCCGCGCCCACGCCAGGCCCCTCGAAACGAAGGCAACTCACCAGCCTGGACCGCGACGCGTGCGATGATCCTCGCGCCCTTGGGGGTGGCTCAGAGTATCGGTCGAACAAGGTCGGCACGGTGTCTCCCCCTGCCGTGGCAACTCGTGGGAAACTCAAGTGTCATGTGGCTGTCTCTCGCTGACCGACGCTGATCGACGCCAACCGACGCGAAATCGGCGCCACTTCGACGCTCATCGATGTTGATGTGGCGTGTTCACATCGATTACCAGATGCTAACGCACGCGAATAGGTGGCGACATCCGAACCTCACCCCAACAATCGATTCCCCTCAATCCATGGGAGTCGTGGGTAGGGCTCGGATTTCGCCACGTGCTCGACAAATTCCGAACCCTGCTCCCGCCGCCCATCGAGTTGCCTGAATCGTTGATCGGCGAGGGCAAGGTTCGGATTCCGCCGTCAAGCTAGCACTCCAATAGTAGTAATAGTAGTAGCAGCAGCAGCAGCAGTAGTAGTAGTAGTAGTAGTAGTAGTAGTAGTAGTAGTAGTAGTAGTAGTCGTAGTAGTAGTAGTAGTAGTAGTAGTAGTAGTAGTAGTAGTAGTAGTAGTAGTAGTAGTAGTAACAATAGTAGTAGTAGTAGTAGTAGTAGTAGTAGTAGTAGTAGTAGTAGTAGTAGTAGTAGTAGTAGTAGTAGTAGTAGTAGTAGTAGTAGTAGTAGTAGTAGTAGTAGTAGTAGTAGTAGTCGTAGTAGTAGTAGTAGTAGTAGTAGTAGTAGTAGTAGTAGTAGTGTAGTAGTAGTAGTAGTAGTAGTAGTAGTAGTAGTAGTAGTAGTAGTAGTAGTAGTAGTAGTAGTAGTAGTAGTAGTAGTAGTAGTAGTAGTAGTAGTAGTAGTAGTAGTAGTAGTAGTAGTAGTAGTAGTAGTCGTAGTAGTAGTCGTAGTAGTAGTAGTAGTAGTAGTAGTAGTAGTAGTAGTAGTAGTAGTAGTAGTAGTAGTAGTAGTAGTAGTAGTAGTAGTAGTAGTAGTAGTAGTAGTAGTAGTAGTAGTAGTAGTAGTAGTAGTAGTAGTAGTAGTAGTAGTAGTAGTAGTAGTAGTAGTAGTCGTAGTAGTAGTCGTAGTCGTAGTAGTAGTAGTAGTAGTAGTAGTAGTAGTAGTAGTAGTAGTAGTAGTAGTAGTAGTTGTAATAGTAGTAGTCGTAGTAGTAGTAGTAGTAGTAGACGGCATTGCGAGGCCCCCGTGAATTCCTACCGAATTTCCCCTCGGGGGGCCTCCGCGCGCTCCTGCTGGTGCAGCAGGCCCAGCTCGTTCTTCGCCCACAGCGTGAGCCTCTCCATCGACGGGCTGCGCAAGGGATCGGACGATCACGACCACGACCACCACAAGTAGATTGAAGAAGCGCGATGACAATGCTGTCTGGCGAGGCTGCCTCGTCGTCGTCGATCGAAGCTCAGCGCTGGGACACCGAGGATCGACGTCTTCGGAACGGTTTCTGGGCCTCTGGGGGCGGCCTCGTGGCCACGGCCCGGGGGTAGAGGGAGGGCGCAAAGCTTCTTAGAAGCACCCCTGCTTCTTGAAGGCGCCGGCCTTATTGCATCTATCGAGAAGGCCCACGCCTTCTAAGAGTCAGGGGTGCTTCTAAGAAGCCTTCCCCCCTCCCACTACCCCCCTCTGCGCGTGCTCGACCATGAGCAAGATGCCGCAGGATCTTGGCGACGGCGATTTTGGTCCTGGTCCCTGCCGGCCGTCGCCGATCCGCGAGGATGGCCCTTCGGTTGACGATGGCCAGGGTGTACGACAATCACAATGGAGGATGCCTTGATCATCGTCCATCCTGGTCATCGTCAACTTACGGGTCATCCTCGTGGATCGGCGACGGCCAGCAGGGACCAGAACCGAGATCAGCGTCAACAAAATCCTGCGACATTCATAATCATCGTGCTTCGTCCCTGGAACGGCGACGACGACGGCGACGGCGAAAGCGACGACGATGACAGCGACGATGACGACGACGACGACGACGACGACGGCGACGACGACGACGTCCTGGGACATGTCCTGGAACATACTCTGGCCAGAATTTCAATGGCGATTCCAGCTGTTGCCACGAGGGCCAGGGAAGACCAAAATCGAATCGATAAGTCGGATCGGCGATCGAAATAAATCGGATCGGCGGAAATTGGCAGCCGAGCCGGGAACAGTCGAATGCGAGTGTATCGGCAGGCTAGTAGTCTTCCGTTGAGAGATCGGGTCCCACATTGAAATGCGAAGGCAGGTCGAATCGGAATCGGGATCCATCGAAATCGAGATCGAATCGAATCGGAGGAATCGAAATGAGTCCTGGAGGGCGCCCCCAGAGGCCCCAAACAGGGCGACCCGACGCCCTCGATCTCTGGCTCTGCGCTGTCGCCCTGCGACCGACGTGAGCGCGTGACGGCCTCGCCCACAGCGTGGGCCCCTCGGCAGCGCGCCAGGCTGGACGGCCTCGCACACTGCAGGTCTGCGGGGTCATCACCATCACCATCATCACCACCATCAGCATCAGCATCAGCATCAGCATTAGCATCATCATCATCATCATCATCATCATCATCATCATCAGCAGCAGCAGCAGCAGCATCAGCAGCATCAGCATCATCATCTTCATCCTCATCCTCATCCTCATCCTCATCCTCAGCATCACCATCATAACCATCGTCGAGGTACCGAGGCCACCTGACTTCGCGAGTCGCGCCCCGCGATGCCCTTCGCAACCTCGCGCCGCTCGCTTTGACCCAGGGCTCTCGTGCACCGCTGCTCCCCGAGCCTCTCCGAGGACGCGCCCTGACCAGGAGTTCGGGGCGAACCCGGCAAGTGGCGACGAGGGAAGGGAATGGAAGAGCGTCGGTATCTCTTCGTACCCTGAGGCTCACTCGGGGATGGACAGACCTCCCTTTAGCACAACGTGGTTTAGTGAAAACGACCGGAGGCCCAAACCTGGCGGGCGCAAGCCTGGAAAATAGCGGCCACGGCGCCCTCTCGAGAACCGAAAACGGACAATTCACTAATCGACGTGTCACTGTTGGGGGTTCTGTCCACCCCCGACTCACTGCCTCTGACCCACCGGGCGGCGTGATCCCCTCGGCGTGTTGGGGGGCCCCAGGACGTCGAGGACGCAGCCTGGAGGCCCAGGTTTGGATGCTCGTTCTGGGGACCTTCCTGGAGCCCCTCGCTCCACTCGTGCGTCGATGATGTGTCGAACGTCCGTCGGCAGGAGACGCAGTCGAGTCGAACTGGAGGCGAGCTCGAACCGAGCTAGAGTCGAAGAAGTGGACCCGAAGTGGAGTCGAACAAGATCCGTGGTGGGCTCCAAGGAGGCCCCTCGAGACGAGCGTGTAACAGGTGGCCCCCAGAACGGCCCCCACGGGGCCCAGAGGCCCAAAGGGTGCTTCAGATCGGCGCGACACGCCGCGGGCTCCTTGGTCTGAGGGCTCCCTCTGTCAACTTTCGAGGCGACGGACGACGGCGACGAACGACGAGAAGACGAGGCGACGACGACCGGCAAGGAGGAGGAGGAGGTGGATAAGGAATCTGTACCATGGTGATGATGATGATGATGATGAGGAGGAGGAGGAGGAGGAGGAGGAGGAGGAGGAGGAGGAGGGAGGAGGAGGAGGAAGGAGGTGGAGGTGGAGGTGGAGGTGGAGGAGGGAGGAGGAGGAGGAGGAGGAGGAGGAGGAGGAGGGGGAGAAGGAGGAGGAGGAAGAGAAGGAGGAGGATGAGACCTGGGGTTCGCTCTGGCCATGAGGTCTCCGGTGGAGGCTGCATCTGGCTCTGGCGACGAGGGGGGCCCACGCAGGGCTAACAGCGTCAGAAGCCTTACGATCCGCAGACGTCCGACAATTTTTGTTTCTCCTGACACTCCTGTGTGTTGGGCCATCGTTCGCAGCGCCGCGCCCCACATCCTCCTTTCTCCTCCTCCTCCTCCTCCTCCGTCCTCCGTCCTCCTCTCCTCTTCCTCCTTCCTCCTCTCCTCTCATCCTCCCTCCTTCCTCCTCCCTGATTTCCTCTTCCTCACCCACACATTCTGTGGCCCCATAGGGAGCTCCACCGAAGGCTCCAGTGGCAGGGCCCGCATGCGTACTCAGGTCCATATCGGCACACCCCTCACACGTTTCGACACCCCCCGCCCGTCGAGTTCCTGTGCATCGAGCGGTCTTGTTGATATGTTTCACGAGTGTAGGATGGGTTGGGTTCTTCGCCAAGGTAACTCGGCTCCTCAGAGATCTGGGGACACCTATTTCGGGGGAGCGTCTTTCCATCGTACGAGCCGCTTTTTGACGGTCCTGGAGGCCCGCGCGAGCCCCCAGAGGCCGAAAGGTGCCCGAGAAACCCTTCGCCGAGCGAGGCTGCTCGCGACGCGAGGAGGTCAGGGCCCCCGGGGGCCTGAGGCCCAAAGTCCCGACCTGGACACGTTCTGGGGTGCGCTCTGGCCAGAATCTCGGGGGCGCGCAAACCTGGATTAGCGATCCATGGACTTGGCGCGCGGTCGCCAAATCCATGGATCGGGGGAGGTGCCCTCCCCAAAACGCGGCCGGCGCCGCCTCGCTCGGCGGCGGCACTCCGCGATGTCCGATGGAAGCGGGACCTGTCGGTAATCCGTGCCCCCTCGATCCGTGTTTGCGGTCGCCTGACAGTCTCGAGCCGAAGCCGGCCGTGGCGAAGGGCGCAGCGGCGCGGAGCGAACGCCGACGTCGTCGCGCGTGTGCTCCTCGGGGGAGGCTCGCCCGTGCCCAACGGGGGCACGGCGTGGAGGCCGCAGCCTCGAGACGAGGAAGACTGGCGTCGCGCGCAAGGGGGGCAGGGGGGGAGGCCTCTTAGGAGCAGGCTGCTTCTTAGAAGGCGCGGGCCTTGCATTGGCAGGGGGAGGGGGAGGAGGAGGAGGAGGAGGAGGAGGAGGAGGAGGAGGAGGAGGAGGAGGAGGGCCGCAGCGAGGGTGCTTCTAAGGAGCCATCCCCCCTCCCCCCACCCCCCTCTGCGCGTGGACGAGAAGACCTGCTGCTCGAGCTCGTGGAACGTATGCCCGCTCAGGTGATGACCGCTACTCTGTGCACCAAGCGGCCCAGATCCATCGTACTCCAAATCCCTTATTAATCGTCCCCCGGGTCCGGTTTTTTGAGGCGCCTTTTTGGTAACTGGGGGGGTCCGATTTATCAGGGCGTTTTCTTTGGATTGGAGCTTAGGGGGTCCAGTTTAGTAAGGCGCCCCGTCGAAGAGGGGGGTCCGGAATATTGGGTCGCATTTGGAGGGGGGTCCGGTTCTTTAGGGGGGGGTCGATTAATAAGGGATTTGGAGTAGGTCGTTCGCGTTGTTGTGCTCGTATTGTCATGGTTGGGTGGCTGATCCCTTACGAATTCGCTGTCCAGGCTGTGCAGCAAGTTCCGGATATCGTCGTCCCATCGCTTCGGCTGTAACCCACGTTGCCGTCGCCCATGCTGGCGTACATTTAGGTCGGGCATGTCCTCTTACAGTGGAATTTTGGACGAACAATCAAAACAACAACTCCAATGATACTCAAGCATTGCTAAACAAACAAAAAATAGTGACCATCTTATTCTTCTGCTATTCTTGAATACTCCTCCTGTTAGAGGGACAGGCCCGACTTAAGCGTACATTGAGATTCGGGTTCCATCCAGGACTCGCCGAAAGACCAGGAAGGGTGGGAAATGTCCACAATCCTTCGAACCTCGAACTTCGCTGCCCCGCCCCCACGACTTGAGCAGGGACCGACCGTCCCGGCATTCCTATAGGCCTACCACAACATGATCTTAGAACCCCATACAGTTCGAAGAACAAAAGCACTGTTCTCAGCACTTAAACCCGCTGTGCGAACACAAGACAAGATCGGCCAGCGATGTTCTAAACCATCTCGCGCAGACCACAGCAGGCTCTCAGACTACTCTTTCCTGGGCCTGTAGGAAAGCCAGGACGCTTCGCCGCTGGTCGAACGACGACGGCGCAACGCGAGGGCCTCTTCGCCCCTCGCAGCGCCGGCACCGCGGGCGGCGCGATGCCGAGCGCCTCCAGGTCGCGCAGCAGGCTGCGCAGGTGCCCGCCCGTGGCGAGACGCGGCCGCCTGCAGCGCCGCCGCAGCCGCCGTCCGCTGCCAGGCCGGAGCTCAAGTGAATCGCCAGGCGGCCACGTGCGGACCCCACCCTAAAACAGGGCTCCGATCGGGATTAAATCGCTCCAGAGCGTTCCGGAGCGCTCTCAGAACGTTCCGGAACGCTCTGGAGCGGCCGCGGCGCCCAATACATCCTCCAAACCCGCCGATTCCCAGAGACTTCGAGTTATCCCGATCCGATTTTGTCCCGATCTTCGCGTCGTTCTACACCCCCCACCCCCCACGCATGCTAAGGGGGAGGGCGGGGTTCACTTCGCCCGGGAGCTCCCGGGCGAAGTGCGCCCCCCCCCGTATCTCCCTTTAGGATCGTGGGGGGTGGGGAAATTAGGGTTCGCGTGTGGCCGCCGAATCGCGGAATCGGACCGAATCAAGGATGTATCGGATCGCCAACGGATCGCCCCGAGCCGCATCGAAACCGAACCGACGCGCCCGGCTCTGGCTGGCCCAGCTGGTGCCGGTGAAGCGAACCGAATCGATTTGGAATCGCGGCCCCCGCGGGTAAATCGAACCGCAGTGAATCGGATCGCAGGCGTCCCTGGTCGTGGGTCGTAGTCGCCGTCGAGATCGCCGTCGGGCTCGTCGACGCCGTATATCACGTCGCCGTCCGCCGAAACGCCGCGGGTCGTCGTCGAGTTCGCCGTCGAGCTCGTCATCGAGCACGTCGTCGGTCGTCGGTCGTCGCCGAGCTCGTCTTCATTGTCGCGGTCGTCGTCTGCTGTCGTCGGTCGTCCGTAGCCGTCCGTCGTTGGTCGTCGTGGTCGCCTTCGTCCGTCGCCTTCGGCGTCCGAAATCCTCCGTCGCTGTCGCCGTCGTCCGCTGTCCGGCGCCGTCTGTCCTCGTCGCCAGCGTCCGTCATCGGCCCAGACCTCCGACGTAACGATTTTTTTCAAAACGTCGACCCACAGAGTTCTGGACCCTCTCCCTGGGAGCGGATTTCCCTCTGGAGTCTTCTTGTTGACGGTCCCGAGGCGCAGGGAGGGCCCTGGAGGCCGAAAAACTAGCCGAAAACGTCCTGTCGTCACTTTTTCACGACGCGAGGAGGTCAGGCGATGTCGTCGCCGTGGTCGTCGCAGCCTCAGGAAGTAGGCCAGAAAGATGGTGTCGAGCACGACCGCCAGGGAGTCGTTCGGGGACACCTCCGGGGCCCGCAGCCTGCTCTCCATCCTGGACTGGCACAGGCTCCGCATCGGGTCGCAGGTGGAGATGTACTCCAGAAATCCTGCGGGCGCGCTCTCGTCCGCACCTGCTCATGCCATTCAGCGTTCCCCCCCACACCCACCAGGGGAGAACGAGGGAGGGATGGAGAACGATCGAGTGGGGCTGGAAGGTCTGGTCTGCAGAACACCCCGAACAGACGTCAAGAGGCGCAACCGACCTGTTCGGTCAAGCTGAACAAAGGATGCCACAACCGGCGTCGAGCCAAAACTCAGGGCATAAGCGAATGGTTGGATGTCGCACTCGGGGATCTTCTGACCCGGGTCAATCCAGACCCGGGTCGGTCAGGCCTTGCAGAATCCTGCGAGATCCTGCTCCCAAACCCAGGTCAATGCGAAGGATCCTACAGGACCCTGCAATATCCTGCACCCAAACCCGGGTCAATGCGACCCTGGCCTTGCAGGATCCTGCAAGACCGGGCGCTCTGGCTGACCCCCGTTTGCACTGACCCCCGTCTCAAGGCTCCCGACGCACATCTTCGTCGGCTTAACATTAACCAGCGAAGCGTTTGAACACCTCGACGTCCCCTTTTTTGGTGGTCCTGCAGAAGAAGGCGCTCCCTGACCCTCGGCCCTACTCAAGAGAACGAGGCGAGGGCAGACGAGGCGAGGGCTGGTGTGGGATCAGGCTCTGCAGGGTCACATCCTGGTCGGCACCAAGGTACTCGGCCCAGGCACTCCTCGTCGCCGCCGTGTCCACTTCTGTTTTTCGTTGCTCGTCGCCTTCTATATCGGCGCCGACAGTCTTGGTTAACGACCGACCGAGGAGTAGGAGGAGGAGGAGGAGGAGGAGGAGGAGGAGGAGGAGGAGGAGGAGGAGGAGGAAGAGGAGGAGGAGGAGGAGGAGGAGGAGGAGGAGGAGGAGGAGGAGGAGGAGGTTAGGTTAGGACAGCCCCGAGGGGAAGAGTCTCGCAAGACTAAAACAAACAATGGGGGGAAGTGGCACCCCTCGGAGAGGGACTTGTTACCCTGGAGGACAGAGCTCCCCACACTCTGACCAGGGCCCGCGACGGGGTGCCACGACACAAAACTACTCCTCAGCCGGAGGGCCTCCTTGGCACGCACTCGCTCTGCAAGGGCGGCCATCCGTCTCTCGTACCCAGGGACGGTGGGGGCACTCGAATGGGCCGAGGGAACAGACGTACAGGCAAGAGTCTTAGACCGCGGCTTGGGGACCACAGACATTGCCGTGACCGCAGCAGCTCTATCAATCAATTGACGGACACGACTACTGGGGCCCAGGCCTCGCGAGTACTTACTTAGTACCTCGCGTCCCTTCCTAGAGGGTCGTTGGCACGCCTTGTCAAGATTACGGGAGCACCTCTGGGCCCAGCAGCCGCAACGAACGCACAGAAACTGTAGCCTACTCAACTTGGCTTGCGGTGGCTCTGGGGCTCTGGGGTGGATCTCGTGAGGGGCCACACCAACAATCAGGTGCCCCAGGGGACGGCGGACGACCTGACGAACGAAATCGGGGGCCCCAGAGCAACCCAGAGCCTCTTGGGGGGTACCCTCATGGGCGACCACCAGACAATGCTTGCACTGCATACCAAGCGGTCCACTCTCCCACTCATGCCACCCAGGAGCTGACTTTACAGAACGGTGACGGGCAAAGGGCCTGACGCGCTTCGCTCGGGACTGGAAGGCTGGTAGCACACTAGCTGCAAGCTTGACAAAATACCTGGCGGTCTCTACTTCAGACTCTAAGCGATTGGCTGCCCCGGGTCCGATGGGAGCGTGCATCTTGAGAGCCTCCTTGGCGTGGAGGTCAGCAGCACGGTTGCCTTTCGCAGGCGCCCGCTCCACAAGCGGCAAATTATGTATCACGCCCTCGCTTCGATGCGCCTTAACATGCTGGATGGACCTGATGTGGCCGTGCCCACTGAGGGAACGGGCGAAGGCCGATACGCCAGCGAACACCTTGCTCGCACGAAGCTGTTCGTGCTCAGGAAGGAGGGCCTGACTTATTGCTGCTTTACAATCGGCATGCATGTAGGAACTGCGATCAGCGATCTGGCAGGCGACAGCAATAGAAATTTTCAGCCATCGCGGGGAACTGCGGAAAACCTCCAGGCACAGTGCCACGCGCTACCGAAAGGGTAGCCTCGGCCTGGGGGTCAAACAGAACTACCGCATACGCAGCACGCTGAAAACAAGACAAAATCGGCATGGTGATGCTTCCGTCCACCGCGATGTGTAGGTTATCGCTATGACCGACACATTGCACAGACTTCTCGGGCTCCAGATCGGGAGAAGCCTCCCCAAGACCGTCCAGGACCATGGCCTCGGGGGCCCCTTTGACAGGAGGGATGTCCCCTGGGAGCACCGAGACGACCCCCTTTCAAATGGAGTAAACTTCCAGGGTCCTCCCGAGCTTCGCCCAGGAAAGTCAAAGGCACTTCCGCCTCCTCGCGGGCCTGGGCTACAGCTGGGAGCTGGCAGCAAAAAAGCCGATGATGGGTGGTGTCAGGCTCACCGCATTCACATCGGCCAGCTCGAAGGGTGACATAACCACTGTCATGTGCAAGCTGTTCCGTCCACAAGCAGTCGCAGACAGCAGCTTGAACTAAATACTTCTGGTACTTGTTATACTTAGTCTTGGACCTGAGGCAAGACCTGACCACGTCCAGGTTGGCCCTAACTCCTTCAGCAAACCCCCACTCTCCCCAAGCGACTTCTCATGGGCAGCCTGGAACGCGGTGCTGAACATTTTACCTAGCATCGCAGGGGAGCATTGCGTGAGCTGGATGGTGATGCCATCCTGGTCGACCCACTCAGTGGCTGACACAGGCTTCCACCTTACGCGAGCAAGGCAAAGCGGGATCCTGGAGATCGGTCCGCGGGTTTGGGCCCAGGACACATCCGACTGAGCCTGGGGAAAAACGCGGTCCCACATACGTTCTAATTCAGTTAGGCCTACGAGTGCATCAGACGGGAAAGCCACAGCATGCCATAACATCTTTGACCACTGGAGTGCGGGTGCCATGGCCTCACGCGCCGCGGGCTCACCGTGCAAGGCCAGCTTGGCGCGCAAGCTCGCACCCCTCGTCGCGGGCGCCAGGTAGGACAAGGCCTGGCGACGGATGGCGAGCAGCTCCTGGTCGTCGACGCCGTTGACCTCGACCCCATAGTGAGCTGCCATCTTGATTTCAGTGGTGTAGACTCTTCCGAGCCTCTCGTCAGCCTTCCTCATGGACTTGAGCTTGGCCGCGTTGGCCAGGCGCTGGGAGGACTTCCCCAAACGCATCTTCCTCTTGCCAGCGGTGCGGGCTTGCGCCCGTCGCCGTCCGCAGGCGAAGCCCGTGCCGAGGTAGGCGACCGCTGGTTTGGACTTATCTTTGGCGAGGCCGAGCTTCGTGGTCACCTCCATGCCAAGGGCACTATCACTGGCCACGACGGCGACCTTATCATTGAGAGTGGCCTGACGTCGGCCCCAAACTGCTTGGAACTGCACACCCGCTTGAATCGCGACGCCTGCGACGATGTCTCGGTCACGGCCGCTCACGTGGACCCCAGTGTCGTCAATGTAGCTCATGAATTCGATCGACGGGTTGCGGCGCACAAACTGGTCGCACTCTGTGATCGTGAAGGCTCGAACCGCAACATCAGCAAATGCACAGCCTGCTGGTAGCCCGAAAGTGGCTAACAAGACTGTGCAACTGCGGTGCAGGCCCAGGCGAACGATACGCGGTGACTGCCACGCGTTGAAAATTAACTTGAGAATCGGCATGGGCATGCCGCAGGCAAGGGGGCGACCACGTAATACCTCCAGCGGGGTGCCCTCGTAGAACTTGCTGTAGTCCACCAGGATCAAAAAGGCTATACTTGTTCTGGCTGACCTCAGCCTCACTGCGCGCAGCCTGCAGCCAATACAGATCGAGTGCACTACGGCCTGCCAGGGCGCCCCAGTACGGGCGGCGCAGCTGCTGGTGAAGGCCTTCAAGGTCACGGCGACGAAGCCTCTGCCAGACACGGTACATGCCCGAGTACAATATTATCAGTCGGTGGCCCTGGTCAGGCTTAGCAAGCACGGGCATGACAATGAAGCATAACTGGCGAGGCAATAGACCGATCCGTTCGCACGCCTCGAACAGCGCTGCCATGGCGTCGAGCGCAGCGCGAGGAAGTAGCCCAAAGTGACGAGGATGCACTCGATCAAGACTCGCCGTTGTGGTGCGCGGGAAGCCGTTGGCCACATCGCGGATGATGTCCGCGCTGGCCCTGTCCATTGCCGACCTGTCAGGCGTCCAGGCTTGGCTCGGAACCTGGCTAGCATGCCAAAGCTTCTCATACCTGCGAACCTCAGCCTCGACGATATCATGAGGATGTGCCGTAAGCCCTCCAGCAGTGCGAACTACCGTAGGGTGGGGTGCATTGGGTACTCGGGTGGCGCGGTGAAGTCCTCGCGCACCATTGGACGATGCCGCGTCGCACCAGTCCTGCCACCGTTGGCGATCATCCTTTACTTCATCCAGCTCGGCCTTCCGTGCATCAGCTGCAATGTCTCGACGGTACTGCTCAAGAATTGCAGCAGCTCGGCGGCTGTCACGGTGGATCCGAGGGGCGACGCAGGTCTCGAAATCATCGTCCTGAGAAACAGCTCCAGTCTGGTCCCCGAGCTGCGCATTGATGCCAAAGAAATCGCCCTGGTCGATGCCAGGCTCGTCAAACTGATCAGGAAACAGGCCATCAACTTGCAATCCTTCCTGGCCTGAGGGGCCAACCACGGTAGCGGCCGCGGGGGCCACTTCAGAGCGTAACTGTGCTGTGGACGGTGCTGGTAGCGGGCCTTGGGCTCCAGCTGCACGAAGTAAGGCATTACCTACAGCGACTCGCGCCTCAAGAACACTGGCATCCAGACGTGCGCATAGACCCTGCCCGAAATACTCAGCGGTCGAAAACACATCCACCTCGGCTTCCAGACAAGGTACCGTAGTGTGCTTGAGCCTCATGAGCTTGCACGAGTTGTCCAGGGACTGCGTTGACAATGTCCAGCCGCGAGAGATCGCCTTGGCTTCAGCAACTGTCTCGGGGCGGTGACTGTAGTCAACCCATCTGGCTTTGGGCGGCGCTCCCCGCGAGGCGCTGCTGGACGTGCACTGGCCAGTGACTGCACTGACCTCCTTCTCGGCGGCATGGGCGAAGGTAGCCCACGCTCGCGACAAAATGCACCGTGCTTCACGAACAGGCTTCTGGCGACTAGCATCGACGGCCGCCTCAGCCATCGCAGAGGGGTGCTGCCAGTCAGAGCCTTCCCGTGCAGGACCAATGAAACGTTCGGTTCCATACTTCTTTGCCACCGTGTATACCATGCACTGCTGCCCTAGACCTTCCGTAGAGAGGCCCAGTGAAATAGGTCGGTGAGGTCGCTTCGGCCATGAGGTGTCCACGTGGACGGACTCGAGCAACCTCTTGGCAACAGTGTTGACAGCAAAGAAATCAATCGCACGGCTAGACTTGGGTGTAATGCATGTGGGCAAGGACGGGGCCACAAGTACCATCTTGGCTACTCTCGGGAAACCTGACTCCTCGATGTCCCTCGGCGTAGCATTCCAGTCGCCAGCCAGGACGACGGGGTCGGCAATCTCGGAAACCCGCGTGCCGATCTGAGCCAGGATACGCGCATTCTTGCCCTTGATGCCCTGGTTGACCACCAGGTAGAAACAGACGATGTGCAACGGTGGCCATCCAGGAAGGTGCGCAACTGCGTGCAGTGCGCGGCGATGGTGAAGGACAGCGCGGGCGCAACCTGGTCCCCGAAGTCCAACGTGATCCCTAGCAAGTACAGCAACACCCTGCGTGGGCGTCGTTCCCTTGGACTTGGCGCCAGGGCTGGTGAGACACTTCCACCCACGACGACCTGCCCAGGCAACAAAATCATCATTCTCATCATCATGGAATCCAACTTCCTGCGCGACGAAGATTGTCGCTGACGAAGCCTGTATCTTTTCCTTCAGCGTACGGATGCCACGGTTGGCGTTGAAGGACTCCACGAAGAACTGGCTTCTAGGGTCAGCATTCGGTGGTGACCGAACTTGGCCGTGATGCACAGGCAAGCTGCTGACTAATACAGGCATATCAAAGGCGCTGCCGTTTGTCTCGGTGCATGGCCAGCAGCTTGTCATGGAACTTCTGCATGAGGTCTTCGTTGCTGTCAGCAGGGTTGCCCCCTTTGACGAGCTCGAACAGTTCCTTTGACTCCTCGAAGGTGGGGTCGAGGTCACGCTTGACGCCGCCACCAGGGGAGCCATCATCACCAGGAGTAGGAGTCTCATCAGGACTCTCAGCGGGCTGCTGTGGCATAGGGGCGTCCGCTGGCTCGGGTGCGGTTGCCTTCCGCACCTGGCCCTCGAGGTCCGCGAACAACTTGGCAGTGGTCTCCGCTCCGATGGACTCGAGGGCGGTGCGGATCTCCTCGGGGAGCCCATCCTTGTCGAACTTGAACTCAGGGAAGAGGGGCCGCTCTGGGGCGACGGCCTTGGCGGTCTCAGCGAACGACTTCTTGTAGCCGTCGATCTCCGCCTCCTTGGAAGTAATAGCGGCCCTCTTGTTCTCCAGTGCAGCCTGGAGATCATGAACTTGCTTGGACATATTCTCAGCCTCGCGCTGGAACTTGACCAGCTGCGACTGCGCATTCTTGAGCTTATCCTGGGCCCTGCGATGGGCAGCCTCAGGAGACTGGACACTCTCGAGCTGCACACGGAGGGTCTCAATCTCAAGCTGGTGTGCCTGCTTGACATTAGGCGGCACCGACGGCTCCTTGAGGTACTTTTCCTAGAGAGAGATCGACGAGAGAATCTCTGCACGGGTAGCTCAGCTCCTGCATCCTTCGGCCTCTCAGCGCCTGTACCCTGGTCGGGCGTCGGGTCCTTGAGGCTGGTGTTGGCCAACTTGCGCTCGAGCGCGGCCACCTGCTTGCGGAGCTCCTCGTTCTGGTCCCGTGCCCATGGCGCTGGTGTGGCTCGACGGCCACCAAGCACGGGCTTCCTCCCTTGCACTTCCTTCTCAGCTCTAGCGTGTGCGGTCTTGGCTGCGGCAACAATGAGAGCTGGGGCAGCGGTGCCGCAGCGGCAGCGGACTCGGCACGCCCAGTTCTTGTCTGCGCCACAACTGCATCCCCAGAACGGCGTCCTGGGCCCGCGCAGCACATCGGAGACGGGAGGCGGTGGGACCATGGGGCTCGCGAGCCCTCCAGCTGGAGGACCCCTGAAAAATTGGATTGTCTGGCTCGGGAAACAGAGCTATCCCACTTTGGCACGAGGGCGCGGAAGCCCCCAAGTGCAAGCATCTTGAGCCAAAATGGCTACGGAAAGGAGGAGGAAGAGGAGGAGGAGGAGGAAGAGGAGGAGGAGGAGGAGGAGGAGGGGAGGACCTTGCAAACTGCACCAAGAAGGATTCCCCCAAACCCCCAAGCCGAACCCGCGGGACGGTGAATACGGGCATGTCTTCTGCCCGCCAGAGGTTTTCGGGACCCGTGCAGGGTAGAGGGCGCAGCAACACGCCCCCAGACGCACCGGCGACCGTACCGGAGCGGTGGTCTGTAATGTTCGTGCCGACAGTCTTGGTTTACGACCGACCGAGGAGTAGGAGGAGGAGGAGGAGGAGGAGGAGGAGGAGGAGGAGGAGGAGGAGGAGGAGGAGGAGGAGGAGGAGAGGAGGAGGAGGAGGAGGAGGAGGAGGAGGAGGAGGAGGAGGAGGAGGACCTTGCCAGTTTTCGCCTTCTGCGTGCCGCTCCGGGGCAACATCCTGCACGCCACGCTCCGAGCTGCGTGCGTGCCCCGCTCCCGCTCGTCGGCCGTTGCTCCCCTCTCGTGGCCCCTGCGATCGACATCCTCCTCCCCTCTCCTTCCCCGCCTCCTCCTCCTCTCCCTCCTCCTCCTCCTCCTCCTCCTCCTCTACTCCTCGGTCGGTCGTAAACCAACATCCTCCTCCCCTCTCCTTCCTCGCCCCCCCCCCCCCCGACGCTTCCTGGGGGCAGTGGAACTTCGATGCGGATCCAGCAGTGGCCACCCGGCGCCCTGGAATGGAAGGCCCAAAACGGGAAGGACGAACGCAGAACACAAAACAGCTAGATCATCCTCGATCCGCGAACCTCCATCCTCCTCCTCCTCCTCCTCCTCCTCCTCCTCCTCCTCCTCTTCATCGTCCTGCTCCTCCTACTCCTCCTTCTCCTCCTTCTTCTCCTCCTCTTCTTCCTCCTACCCCTCCTCCTGCTCCTCCTCCTCCGCCTACTCCTCCTCCTGCTCCCTCCGCCGCGGAAGATAAAGAGGATGAGGGGGAGGATCAGGAGGAAGAGAAGGCGGAGGAGAGGCCACAGGAGACAGAGGAGGAGACAGAGGAGGAGACGAAGGAGGCGAGAGATCTCCTGGCCCCTCCTCCCTCCTCCTCCTCCGCCTCCTCCTCCCTCCTCCTCCTCGTCCTCCTCTTCCTCCTTCTCCTCCTCCTTCTCCTCCTACCCTCCCCCATCCTCGCTTGCTCCCCCAAGCCCGCCCTGGCTAGACAAGGGAGGGGCACGGGGCCGGGCCGGCGTCCCTGCCAGGAGCCGCACAGGCTCCGCTGCAGCTGGTCGATGATGTCGTCCAGCATGGCGACCTCCCCGACAGGGCGGAGCCAGGAAAAGGGGCAACATCGGAGCGAGCATGACATCGGGGAGCTCTCAGATCCAGCGGCTCCGGAGGAGGGGCATACTTAGGGGAACGCAGCATGGCACAAGCATCACAGCTCGAAAAGGTCCGCGCGGACTTCTCGGATCGGCGCTGGACCTCCAGGGGGGGGGCCCAGGCGCCGTGCTTGTGTTTATTAGATGCTCATTCTGGGGACCTTCCTAGAGCCACTTGCTCCACTCGTGCGTCGAAGCTGCGTCGAACCTGAGTCGAACATGAGTCGAACCTGAGTCGAATCTGAGTCGAACCTGAGTCGAACCAGAGTCGAACTTGAGTCGAACCTGAGTCGAACAGATCCATTAGGTGGCCCCCAGAAAGGTCCCCAAAACGAGCATCGAGTGTTTATGGCGTCCTCCCTCTCCGCGTACAGCAAGTCGGCGCCCGAGGCCCGCCCGGGAGCGCAGCGGGCCGCACCGACAGAGCAGCAGCGACAGATCGGAGGCGAGCCCGGGCGGCGCCGGCGGGCGCGCGGCCCCCGGGGAGGAGAGGCCAGGCGCCGCGGCGGCTGCCAGAGCCGAAGGCCGCGCCCTCCACCGCCCATGTCTTTACAGCAGGAGCTCGACCACAAGGAACCTTCCACGAGAAACCCGACCCTGAGACCCCAGGACTTCCATGGGCTCTTGAAAAAGAAGAAGCCACACCATAGACATAAACTTGTGGCGCTCCGCGCGGATTCCTCGGATCTGCGCTGGACCGCCCTCCCTGGCGCACGGAACGCGCCAGGCGCGGCGCCGGAGGCGCAACCAGGGAGGCCCAGCGCGGATCCAAGAAATCCGCGCGGAGCGTCGAAAGTTTATGTTGATGTGTTTGCGTTCTTCGACCTGAGACTCCAGGAAGTCCATGGATTTTTCGTGTGGGAACGTCAAGCCTTTCATCGCAAAAACCATCGAGACCCAAGAAACCCAGGGCACCCTGGAGGCAAGCAGGGTGTTTCTTGGCATGGGTTTCCGATGTAGAAGACAACTCCTGGGAGGCCTGCGCAAGAACGATTGGGGGCCATCAGGCCCGGTGGAAGAAGGGCCACTGGACCAGATCAGCCAAAACCGAGCCTCCGGATTCCGCCAGATCCAGCGTGGCCGAGTGGATCTGCAACGGGGTTCTGCCAGCTCCGGCCGAGGATCGGCCAGGGACACACCGGCGCCGATGCTGCACTGAACCTCCCAAGACCTGGCATCGCTCGGACGTGTGCGTTTGCTTTTTTTTTCGTCGAGGGCCATCCAGGAGCCTTTTTTGGGCTGTCCTGCGAACGAGGGCCGTCGAGGAGCGCGCACGCGGCATGGACGTCCGAGTTATGGCGAGAGGCGTGGCATCCGTGCGCCGGCCACGGATACGCCGGCGCCAATGCGGCACCGAACCGACCAAAAGAGTTTTGCTGACTACCTACCAAACCACCCCAACCCAACCCGAAGACCCGAATTTGACCCGAATTTCGGGTTGGGGGGGTAGCGGGTTCCATGTGTTTTTTCGACGTTCCCCGACCCCCCCCCCACTGGAAATGGAGGGCAAATTGAGGCCTTCGGGTTGGGTTGGGGTGGTCTGGTAGGTGGTGATTTGCCGCGGCGCGGCGCCCCTGCGTGGCCAGAGCTGGGTCCCGTCGACATGGGGAAGCAACGGATCCTGTGGGACACGGATCCTGGACCCCCGGGGCCTCTCCCCAGCGTTCTCTTATTCGGCGGGAATCGGGGATGGACACAACCCCCTTTAGCAAAACGTGGTTTAGTGAAAACGACCTCGGGCCCAAACCCGGCGGGCGCAAGCCTGGAAAATAACGGCCACGGCGCCCTCTCGAAAGCCGAAAACGGACAATTCACTAATCGACGTGTCACTGTTGGGGGTTCTGTCCAGCCCCGAGGGAAGGGGGGCGGCAGGGGGAGGGGTCTGGCTCCGGACCTCTGCTTAGTGCGACTGTCTGCAGCAGTGCGCCCTGTGGGGGAGGCTCCACCAGCACGAAACGGGCGCCAAAAACAGCCAAGATCTACTTCAGGGGGGGGCGCGAGGGAACGCGCCGATCGGGAAAACCAGGAATCAGAAAACGATCAGGACGAACTATTCCTCCAGAGTTGTCTCCTGATCCTCCCGGGGGCCCTTGGCTAGGGGAACGAAGAATGATGTAACCATCAAATCTCGGAGTTCCGCGCGGATTTCTCGGATCGGCGCTGGACCCCCCTCCCTGGCGCGCGGAGCGCGCCAAGGGCGGCACCGGAGGTGCCGCCATGGGTGTCCAGCGCGGATCCGAGAAATCCGCGCGGACCTCCGAGTTTTTAATTATGTTTATGTCATTGTTCGTTTTCCCAGCCAAAGGCCCCTAGGAGAATCCAAAAACAACATCTCCTGAGAAACGGATGCTGTGGGAAACGGGTCCTGGACCCCCGGACTTACCCACATAGGACAAACTATTCATCTGGAGCTGTTTCCTGATCCTCCAAGGGACCTTGGCGGGCCCCGACGACCTCGAACACGGAGAGAACCCTCCCCGTCACCGCCGCCGTCGGCCCGGGCCCCGGCCGACCAGGTTCAGGTGGGCGCCCACGTGCTGCGAGACCTCGGGCGGCACCCCGCCGCAGGGGCGGGCGCCGCGGGGGTGGGGAGGAGGAGGAGGAGGAGGAGGAGGAGGAGGAGGAGGGAGGAGAGAAGGAGGAGGAGGAGGAGGAGGAGGAGGAGGAGGAGGAGGAGAGGAGAAGGGGGAGGAGGAGGAGGAGGAGGAGGAGGAGGAGAGGAGGAGGAGGAGGACGGAGGAGGAGGAGAAGGAACAGACGGAGCAGGAGGAGGAGGCGAATGAGGAGGAGGAGGGGGAGGAGGAGGGGGATGATGGATGATGATGATGATGATGATGATGATGATGATGATGATGATGATGATGATGATGATGATGATGATGATGAATGATGAATGATGAATGATGAATAATGGATGATGATGATGATGATGATGATGATGATGATGATCATGATGATGAGGCTGGTGCTGATGCTGATGCTGATGATGATGATGATGATGATGATGCTGTTGATGATGATGATGATGATGATGATGATGATGATGATGATGATGATGATGATGATGATGATGATGATGTTGATGCTGCTGATGATGATGTGGATGATGCCATGATAGGATGATGCCTGCTGGATTAGGACGATGAGGATGAGGAGGAAGAGGACGAGGAGGGGAGGAGGAAGAGGAGTAGGAGGAGGGGGAGGGAGGGCAACGAGGAGGAGGAGGAGAATGAGAGGAGGAGAAGAAGGAGGAGAAGTAGAAGGAGGAGGAGGAGCAGGTGGAGGAGGAGCAGAAGGAGAAGGAGGGGGAGGAGGGGAGGAGGAGGAGGAGGAGGAGGAGGAGGAGGAGGAGGAGGAGGAGAAGGAGGAGTAGCAGCAGGAGGAGAAGAAGGAGGGAGAGCAGGAGGAGGAGGAGGAGGAGGAGGAGGAGGAGGAGGAGGGAGAGAGGAGACGTGACGAGGGGTAGAGGAAGAGGAGGAGGCATAGAGGAGGAGGGAGAAGAAGAAGGAGGAGGAAGAGGAGGAGGAGGAGGGGGAGGATGAGGAGGAGGAGGAGGAGAAGCAGCAGAGAAGGAGGAAGAGGAGCAGAGGAGGAGAGGAGGAGGAGAGGAGGAGGAGGAGGAGGAGGGGAGGAGGAGGAGGAGGGAGGAGGGGAGGAGGAGGAGGAGGAGGAGGAGGAGGAGAGCAGGAGGAGGAGGAGCGGGAGGAGCAGGAGGAGGAGGAGGAGGAGGAGGAGGAGCAGGAGGAGAAGACGGAGGAGGACGACGAGGAGGGGAGGGGCCTTCGGCCCACAGGGGGGGGATGCGCTGGCGCAGCGGTTCTTCGCAGCGGGCGGGGGCGGCAGCAGGGATCGGCGCGTAGAGCTTACACATCCAGGGCCGGGCTAACGGCGGCGTTGCTTTATGGTGATGTTGGGAACAGATTGTAGGAGATTCCTAGACTTCCAGTCTGCGAGTGGATCGAGCGAGCACGACACAGCGAATTGTAGGAGGAGAGCGCAAGCCACGCGTTTTCACACTATCCAAACCTGCATCGCCGTTGCCTGCATCGGCGTTAGCCCGTCGACGGCGCATGAATCAGTATTTTGGCAGTCCTCTCTCACATATGGAATTGGTATGTAACTCTTCCCCCGCATCGCAGAAGGGGTGCATCTGAAAAGTGAACACAGAAGGACGAGGGGAATGAGGAGGGACGGCGAAGAGTAGGGAGCATCGAGCGCAAGAGACACGCAGGACGACAAGTGGGCGTGACCAGACAGGAGACAGGGAATGTTACATGAGAAGAGGGCCCCCCAGGATTTCCAAGGAGACCCCCACTGCCTCCAGAGCACCCCTCACCAGGCCCAGGGGGGCCAGAGGCTCCAAAATGGACTGACGAACCGGGGGCTTTCGTCAAAGCTCAGATCCACACCAAAGATCGCCGAACCTGACGAACAGGTGTTGCCAACAGTCGCACACACTGAACAATCCTCTAACGCAAGCAGCTCGGCTGTAGAGGACGAGACCGGGCTTACGTTGTAGATCCCTACTTCCTCTATAAAACTAATGCATTCGATCCCTGAACTGTCTTAACATGCGCCTCCAAACCCACGTTGCGGCAAACCATGTCAAAGCTCTCGTGCCCCCGTCCTCCTGCCCCCCTCCGCCTCCTCCTCATCCTCCTCGTTTTCCTCATCTGCCTCTTCCTTGCTCACGGCCTTGGTGTCGAACACGCTGTCGGAAGTTGTCTCGGAGTGCTGCTGCAGCGCGAGGAACTGCATGCCCAGAAAGATCTCCTTCCAGGACACGATCTCGCGGACGCGGGGGGGGGGGGACGAGGATAGAAAATGACACAGGAGGGAGGCGGGTGAAGGAAAGACGTAGGAAGCAGGACGAATGGGAGCAAGCAAGAAGGGCGGAGGAAGGAGGAAGTTGTAGGCGATGCTGGGGAGCGACCGAGTGAATCATAGTGAGAGAGGCCACGTAGGAGACAGGGAGCGAAACAACGGCACTCCCAGGAGACCTGGACATTTCCCTGGGAGCGCGACCTCGCGCTGGTCCCACTCCTCCTTATTCTACTCCGTTCCCCCTCCCTCCAACTCTTCCTCCTCTTCCTCATCTTCCACCTTCTCCTCCTCCTCACTCCTCGTGCTTTGACCTTCTCCCTCCTCTCCATGATTATATCTCCTTCTCCTGCTGCTGCTCGTCCTCCTTCTCCTCCCCCGGACGTGGGCATAGAAATGCATATTCCTCCATACTCCTCTGGCTAGTTCGCCATTAGTGTTCCGTCTCCGCTCCTTACCCTCCTCCTCCTCCTCCTCCACCTTCTCCCTGACTCCATCCGTCCTCCTTTCGTGTAGCCGACTGCCTGCGCACCCAATGCGGATTCGTCGCGTGGGCGTTAGAACGCAGGCCTCCACGCATGCACATCTGAAACCTATCATACAACTTCTCGTCCTCTTCCAATGGGGCATTGGCGAATCCCCAGGTCACCAATACCAGAAGGAACGCTCAGTGTACCCATTCACTGTTTGGAACAAGGCTACATCACGATTCCCTTTGCGCGGCCTGGCATTGCATCAATCACGCAGACATCCAAGATGTGATTACAACGAGGGGGGTGGACTAGCTCAGAAGGGTGGAGCTTCGAGCCAGCATGGGCGCTACGGTATAGGGAAACAATTGGTGAACACCCCCCCTGCCCCCCAAACTCAAAGTTGGCACGCGCGGGGGAGACTGCGGTCGAGGTGCACCTCACCGGACCCACCGCCAACTTCGAACATCGGGGGGAGGGGGAGGCGTTGACAGATGGATGTGGCACGAGTATCTGCTCCTTTCTGCCGAGGCCTGCACATCGTCGACAGATCGGCGACAGGTCGCCGATATTCGGGAGCGGCCAAGGGGGGGGTGCCCAAGAGGGGGGGGTGCAAATCATGACCGGCGGCACGTGCGCGGCCCAGCGGGGGGGCCAGGGACGTGATGAAATAAGAAGGGGCGCCCTGAAATCTGGGGAAATATCATGGCCCACGCCATGATATCCCCCCCCCCCCCTAGTCATCACCCCCCGCTTTTCCGCCCCCGAGACATCGAATCCGCCGGCTCCCGGGCGGGAGAGGCCGTCGGGCCCCCCGTCGGCGAGGAGTGGGCGTGTGGGACCCCCCCCCCCCACCCCCCTGACGTTGCCGCTCAAGGTTGTTCAAGGGGCCCCAGGACACACACATAAGTACACACAAATAAAATAATTCCCCATATTTTCCCATATTTTCTGGGTTTTTGTCTTCCCGCCCAATTCCCATATTTTCCCATATTTTCTGGGGGGTCGACGATCAATTGTGTCTGTGTGTTTCTTCCCCTCCTGAGTTGTGCTGGCTCCGGCCTGCGATCCTCCTCGTGTTGGCAACCCGCTGCTCCTTCGACGAGGGCGAGCGGACCCGAGCGTGGGGAGCTTCGCGTGGGGAGCTTCGCGCGCGGCCAAGACTCTTCTTTTGGATGCGGCTGTGTCTTATCAGCCCCATAGCTGAGGGGAAAGGATCCGAACTCCTACACCCCGCGAAATGCTCAAGAAATCATGGGTTAAGAAATTCATAGTCTCAGAACTTGAGTAATAACCCAACATTCCAATTAAACTCTTAAGAATTACATTGAAACGTTAAGAATAATCGAGACTCTGGCCGAAAACTTAGGTTTTCTTAAGCATCGCCTAAGGTGTACCTCTCTCACCCCATCGAGCGGACCCAAGGTCACAGACGAATGGCAAGATGTACCGCCCCGAAACCCACACCATGCAACAAGAACTCCACTGGGAGGCAAACGGACCTACCTCGCTTCTGACCGCCCTCGCTTCCAAAGGATACCAAGCGATACCAAACTACGGCCCGCACCGGTCAGACCGCTTGACGAGGAGGCGCGTGGTATGACATGGCTTTGCTTGGAAGCGAAAGCGGGGTAGGCAACTCACACTCTGATTCACGCGCGTTCCTCGCTTGCTGGATCCTGGGAGCGCTTGTTGGCAACCGTCGCGGCAGAGGTGGCAAGCAGCAGAGGCTCCAGCGATCGCAAACACTTCCAAACCAGGGGAATGAAGATCGCATAAAAAACATAACTTTCAGAGGTCCGCGCGGGTCCCTTGGATCGGCGATGGATCCCGTCTCCCTGGCGCGCGGGGCGCGCTAGGGGCGGCGCCGGAGGCGCCGCCAGGATGGCCCAGCGCAGATCCAGGAAAAAATCCGCGCGGAAATCCGAGATATCTCATGCTTGTGCCAGTTGCGCCTTGTTCGAGAAGAGCCCTCCACGCCATCGATCGGCCTTTCATGCCCCGTGCATGTTCGAAGTTTCGCTACTCTCCGGACCTCTCCCGGGTGCGTTCTGACCATGATTTCGAGGCGAATTCAGCGGTGGCGACGAAGGGCCCCCCGGCACGCCAAGGCATTACGACCCTCCGCTCCGAGCCTCACGAGGCCGGCGCCCGCACTGGAGGAGCGGGCCCCGCGCGCTGCCGCGAGGGGGGGGCCCGCGTGCCTTGTAGTCCAGCTCGCAGCACGCGGACTGGAGCCGCAGCATCCTGCGGGGCCGGGGGGCGGAGGCCCGCGTCTCGCGCGCCGTCGTCGCCGTCGCCGCCCTCGCCGCCGCCGCCGCCGTGGTGGTCGTCGTCGTCGTTGTGAGCGTGGTCGTGGTGGTCGTCGTGGATGTCGTCGTCGTCGTCGCCGCCGCCGTGGTCGTCGTCGTCGCGGACGTAGTCTGGGTCGTCGTGGTCGTGGTCGTCGTCCTCGTGCATACGCTACATAGCTCACGCAGCATGGATTGCACCACATGGCTTGCACCACAAAGCTCACACCATGTAGATTGCACTGCATACATTTCAAAACTTAGCCTGCACCACATATCGAGCAGCACTTAGCTCAAACCGCTTGGAGTGCACCACACAGCTGTCAACGCTTAGCTCACACCACGTAGATTGCACCAAACATGTTGCACCACGTAGCTCATACCGCATGGCTCCCAACGTATCGTTTGCATCACATACATTGTGCAACATGGCCTACACCTCACATCTCACACTTCACACCACGCAGACCGCAATGCACAGCTCACACATCCGCAGTGCGGCCTCTTACTGTCTGGGTCCACGCTGGCAGACATGTGTGTGTGTGTGCATATGCCTAATCTTGAACTCTCGCTCCCCCATCTCGGGGGCGTCCAAGAAGGGGCCGTCCCAGACAGCGGGGCGCGAATCATGGCCAGAGGCATGTGCGCGGCCAAGGGGGGGGGGGGCCGGGGACAGATTGAAATAAGAAGAGGCGCCATGACATCTGGGGAGATTTCAGGGCCCCCGCCATGATATGCACCCGACCCTAGCCCCCCCCCCCCCCTCATAGCCACCCCCGGCCCTCGGCCCCGGCCCCGACCTGCGGAGAGGCCGGGCCGCGGGGAGCTCCCCTCGGTCCAGCGCAGCTTGATGAGCTGCGTGATGTCCTCGAAGTACTCGGTGGGGCAGAGCAGGTGCACCTCTAGGAGACGAGGCACCGGCGGAAAAGCTTGAGCCTTCGGAGGCCCGCGCGGACTTCTCGGATCGGCGCTGGAGCCCCCTCCCTCCCTGGCTAGAGGCCTCCCAGATGGGGTCCGAGCAGATGGTGTCGGAGGATCGCGCCGCATTCGTCATCGACGACGCATCGCCGACCTCGGCGGTATCGGAATCGGCGACGCCGGCGTGGAGAAATCGGGCTCCGCATCGAGCCGCATCGCCGATGCATCGGCGATGCGGCGCGATCCCCTGCACCCGTCTACTCCAACCCCATCTAGGATTAGGTCGGGCACATCCTCCTACAGGGGGATTTTGGACAAACAATAAAAGATATTCAAACATGCTCAGCAATAGTCAAGAGTACTAGAAACATCGTCCCCATACTATCTTTTTACTGTTTTTGAATATTACTCCTGAAGGGGGACACACACGCCCGACGTAAGTCTAGGAGGCCTCGTCCGGCGCGCGGAGCCAGGACTCTCGGGTCGGGCGAAAGGGGGGGATAGCAAAGGGGGGGTTTGAGAATCAGCTCACGTAGCTGATTTTCCCGGCGCCTCCCGGCGCATCGAGGAATGGGCCCCTCGGTGAAGCCGAAATCAGCTGCATGCAGCAAATTTTGTAACCCCCCCTTTCCCAATCGCCCCCCTTCGCCCGGCCCGAGACTCCATTCAAGGAGGAGGGCGCCCTGCCCGACGGCGGGCACAGCTGCGACGAGGGCAGGACGAAGCTGTGCTTCGCGCTGAGCCCGCGCTGAACGTCTGCATCCATTCGGGAGCGGCCAAGAGGGGGGTGTCCAAAAGGGGGGGGTGCAAATCATGACCGGCGGCATGTGCGCGGCCCAGCGGGGGGGCCAGGGACGTAATGAAATAAGAAGAGGCGCCATGAAATCTGGGGAACAATCATGGCCCCCGCCATGATATCCACCCCCCTCTTTTCCGCCCCCGATCCATGGGGCGTGCCCACGGCTCCGCAGCCGTCGTTGCCGCTGGCGCTAGGTCGGGCATGTCCCCCTACAGGGGGATTCTGCACGAGACTTGCAGAAGTCATCAGAACTACCCAAACCCGACTACAGAATGCTGAAAAAATCGGCGCCAGACTATTCTTGGACCAACTTTTGAAGTTTCCTCCTGTAGAGGGACAAGCCCGACCCAACACCAGCGCCGCCGGGCCGTCGACCCGAGAAGCCTGCGCGCGGGCCTGCGAAGGGCTGCGCCGGTGCGGATGTTTGGCATCTCCTTCGGACCTCCTGTATGGTGGAGCTGGTGACGGTGGCTCCCTCCTTCGGCGGGGGGGAGATATAGCCAGACTTATGTTGCTCCCAGCGTACTCAAGGACCACATCACAGATATTATTTCGAGCACCCCGAAGAGTGTCGAAAGAGTGTCGAAAGTGTCGAAACAGAGTCGGACGAATGTCTCCCAGGACCCGGCACGTGAAAACCCTCGAGTTTTCGGTACTTTCTCTTGGTGCTCGGAATTCTTTCTGGCGATCAAGGCTGAAACAGGTCGGAACATCATATAGCCAAGCATCTACCTACAAGAATGCACCGGCAAGAGTGCACGCGGACTCTATGGTGGCCATTGGACTTGCCCAGGGCAAATACATGCCTCATAGCAAACACGACATGGCCGCGCTGACCAACCAGCTCCACCAGCCCTCTGGGCGTAGGTGGTTCCGGGAGTTTCCTCTTCCATCTTCCCTTCCTCCCCTTCGGGGAGGGGTTTACCCCTCCCCCTAACCCCCTCCCCTGGACCTGGACAAGGGGTTTTGCTGGTAGTTGGAGCGTCCAAAACGGCCTCGGCGAGGAAGCCAAAATCATGCCTCATCTAGAGGCATCCTAGATGGGGTCCGAGTAGATGGGGTCGGAGGATCACGCCGCATCGCCGATACATCGCCGATGCATCGGTGATGCATCGGCGATGCACAGGCGATGCATCGCCGACGTCGGCGACGCATCGGCGACGTCGGCGTGGAGCAAATCGGGCTCCACATCGAGCCGCATCGGCGATGCATCGGCGATGCGGCGCGATCCTCCGACCCCATCTACTCCGACCCCATCTAGTAAGGGCTCCCAACTTCGCGCTTCGCGCTGCGCGAAGCGCGAAGTGCGAATAACTTCGCCCTCTCGCGCCGCCTCCCAGGGGAGAAGAGGAGGACGAGGAGGAATCGGAGCCGAACCGCGAAGCGCGAAGCGCGAATAACTTCGCGCCCTCGAGGGCGCCCTTGTCTAGGAGACCGAGATCATAGCAAACACGACGTGGCCGCGCAGACCAACCAGCTCCACCAGCCAGCGTCGAGCGCGACACCGCTGCGTGCGGGGGGGGGGCGCGCAGAGCGGCCTGCTGCCGCAGTGCCCTCCAGCACGCCCCCGCCTCTTGTGAAGGGGCCCAAGGACACGCAAAGAAATACACACAAATAAAACTATTCCCCATATTTTCCTGTATTTTCTGGGCTTCTGTCTGTCTTCCCCCTCACTTCCCATATTTTCCGATATTTTCTGGGGAATCGAGGATTAATTGTGTCTGTGTGATTCTTTTCCTCCTGACTTTTGGCGGCGCGCAGAGGGGGGGAGGGGGCGGCGGGAAGGCTTCTCAGAAGGAGGCTGCTTCCTAGAACTCGCCGGCCTGACATCTACACAGAAGGCCCGCGCCTTCTAGGAAGCAGGGGCGCTTCTAAGACAAATTGTCCCCCTACCCCATACCCCCCTCTGCGCGCGGCAGACCCTTTCTCGGCCGCACAACTTTGGGCTCCAGCGCCCCGCGGTGCGCGATCCTTTTTCGTGAACTCGCGCCGCCTCTACAGGAGAGCCCAGAATCGGGTCGAGAAGTCGGATCGGCAATCGAAATACATCGGATCGGTGGAAAGAGGCAGCCAAGCTGGGAAAAGACTAATCGGCGGAACTCGGCAGGCTAGTCCTCCATTGTTGAAGCGGAATCCAAATCGGAGTCCGAAATCGAATCGCATCGGCATCGGAGACCCTCGAAATCGAGGCGGACCGAATCGGAGGAATGGGCACGAGCCCCGGGGTGCGCGATCCTCTTCGTGAGCTCGCGCCGCCCCCGTGGAGGAGGAGGCCTGCTCGGGCACGGGCCGCGGCCGCGCGGAGCGATCATCGTCTTCTCCTTCGCCCCCCGCGGGTGGCTGGCCAGGGGGGCCCCGCGTCGGGCCAGACGAGGCGGGGGAGGCAAGCACAGCAGGGCCGCGCCGTGCCGGCTTCGGCGCGGGTTTCCGACACCGCGCTGGGTCGTCGCACCTTAGGGAAGCGAACTATGACACAGACCTCACAACTCGGAGGTCCGCGCCGACCTCTCGGATCGCGCTGGGACCCCCCTGGCGGCGTTCCGCGCGCCAGGGCGATGGGGGTCCAGCGCGGATCCGAGAAATCTGCGCGGACCTCCGAGTGTTTATGTTCATGTCATTCCTCGTTCCCCTAATCTTAAACAATCGGCCGTTTCCGAAACGTCTGACCGATCCACATCGACCCATCCTGGGCCGCCGCCGGCGTTCAACGTTCAACGCCGGCAGCGGGGTCGCCGCCGGTCGAGACGACGCGAATCCACCTTAAGGGACGGGGGCAGCAAACCTGAAGGGGCCCTGGGACACACAAATAAATGCACACAAATAAAATGATTCCCCATATTTTCCCATATTTTCTTGGCTTTTGTCTTCGCCCCCACTTCCCATATTTTCCCATATTTTCCTGGGAATCGACGATTCATTGTGTCTGTGTGTTTTTTCCCCTCCTGAAAACCAGCCCACGCAGGAAGGAGGGAGAACTGTGGCGTGGACTGTGCCGTGTGCCTAGTGGGGGCACGCACCCAAGGCGAAGCGCAACCACCCCGCGCTCGACACCGAAGCCCTGAAGACCACGCAATGACCCCGCTGCGCCCCACAAGTACGCATCCCTCCTGGGGACCAGGCATCCTCGCGCCCTCCCTCGTCCTGGAAGGAGGTAGGAGGGGGGGGAGGGTGTCGGCGAGTCCGAGAGGTGTGGTGTGCAAAAGGTGTGGTTCGCAACCCGCCCCCTGGGCGGCGGGCGAGGACCTCCACGGAGTTCTCCGCCGCGCTCCGACGAGGGCCTCGTGGTGCTCCCCAGGCCCCAGCGACGTGGATCGCAGACCACACCCCGGCGCAACCACACCCTGCGTCATAGTCGCCGAGGAAGGGGTGAGAGAGGTCCTTCGTTTTCGACGCCTGGGCGTCGAACTCGAACAGGGACCCCTCGAGGTCCTGCAGCAAGAAGCCGGGGATCACGTGGCCTGTCTCTCCCAGAGCGCCCGGAGGGTAGCAGCCATGGGCGAGGCTGTCGTCGTCGACGCCGTCGTCGCCGCCGTCGTCGCCTCCGCCGCTGCCGCCGTCCTCGTCGTCACTGCCGTTGGGGGGGGACACTCCGCCTCCTCCTCATCGACATCTCTTCCTCCTCGCCTCCCCTCCCTCCCCTCAAAAAGCTCGGCCTCCTCCCTCAGACCCCCTCTCGCTCCTCCACCTCCACAATTAAACAAAATGGATACTACTCTCATCTCTCCGCTGGTGGCGTCCGGGAAATGGCAGGCCCCCCCCAGCGCACATGTTCTGTTACAAACAGGATTCCCGGGAAACAGGTTTTCGCTTCGTTTTTTCTCAAAATGCTGTTCTCGCTGAGGCGCTGGCTTCATTTTCGGGCTACCGCCCGCTCCGAATCGTGCTCCCGCGGCAGCGCTGGCCTCATTTCCGCGCTTCCGCTCGTTCCGAATCTTGCTCCCGCTGTATCGCTGGCGTCATCATTGCCAGCGCCATGCCACGGCATGTTTTTCGGGCCTTCCAGATATACTTAAATAGGCCCCAGAATCTAGAAAATCGCCTCCCGAAGAAACCATCGGAAGTGATTCCACATTCTGGGCGCGCAGATGCCCCCGCCCACTTTGGGGCGTCGCCACGCCATGTTATGTCAGGCTACGCGCCCTCATTTCTGCGCTTCCGCGCTTGGGTTGTTGTTCAATGTGCTGCTCTCGCTGAGGCGCTGGCCTCATTTTCGGGCCACCGCTCAGTTCGAACCGCGCTCCCGCGGCAGCGCTGGCCTCATGTCCGCGCTTCCGCTCGTTCCGAATCGTGCTCCCGCTGCATCGCTGGCGTCATCATTTCCAGTGCCATGCCACGGCATGGTGTTCGGTCCTTCCAAATAGGCCCCATCGGAAGTGATTCCACACTCGGTGTCGATTCGTTGATTTTTTAGGCCGCAGACGCCCCCACCCCACTTTGGGGCGTCGCAACGCCATGCTTTGTCATGCTACGCGTGAATATTCAGCACCGTGCTATGCCATGTAGAGCTACACCATGCGACGACATCCAATTGTGCGAATAGGGAGGAGATCTACGCCATGGTAAGGGATGGGAGGGAGGGATACGGCGTCAGGTATGACGCGAGCGCACCTGTCTTGTCCCTCCCCCCTCTCGCTCCCCCATCTCCCTCCCCCCTCCCTCCCTCATTCCCCCACTCCCCATGGGAGCCTCCCATACCATCCTGTCGGCTCTTGTGAATCGACGTCTATCGGCGCTACATCGACTCGAACCGACGCTAAATCGACGCCAAATCGGCGCTATCCCATCGACTCCGGACCGCGGGCCGACCCCAAATCAACGCTGACGACGGCACTGAGAGGGCACACCATGCTCCCACGATTCGCTACCGAGCCCCCTCTCCCCTCCCCTTCTCGGGGGGAACGAGAGGCGGGGATAGCAAAGGGTAGGGTCGAGAATCAGCTCACGTGGCTGAGTTTCCCAGCGCCTCCCGGCGCCGGGAGGCGCCCACGTATCGAGGAGTGGGCTCGGCGGCGGGGCCGAAACCAGCTGCATGCAGCAGATTGCGTAACCCCCCCTTTCCCTATTCCCCCTCCTTTCGTTCGGCCCGACCTTCCTCCCCCTCTGCCCCGTTCGGCCCTTCCTTCAACGGGAGAATTACGGTGTAAAACTAACTTTTTCGCTGCCAGGGGCGCCGCTATCCCAGGGCGGCTGGAAAGTTTTTATACCCTCACGGCGGCACGTCAAGGTATAAACTCTCCAGCCGCCCTGGGGCAGCGCCCCCGACGACGGAAGACTTTTTGTCATACCCTCCTTCGCCCGCTAATCCATCTCACTCGCCCCCCTTCCCCATCCCCCACCCCCCTCCCACAACGTTCCGGCGCGCGAGCCCCCCCCCACAGCACGGGAGGGCTTCTGCCGCCGCCGCTGTGCACTCTGAGCAGCTGCGGCATCGCGATGCCCGACGGCTTGGTGTTGCTGCCAGTCCAGCCTGGAAAGGACTTTGGCGACGAGGAGACAAAGGGACACAAGAGAATGGAAGGGAATGGCCTCGCTGGAGTTGGACGATCACTGTTCATCACCTGCTAGGCATCTACTGAATGCACGATGCACAGGGAGGGCGAGAAGGAACAGCAGCAGCAGCCTGCCGAACTCTTGGGGTTTTGAGAGGCTCTATCTAGGTCGGAAGGCCAAGAGTTTCCTAGGCTTCTGGGAACTTTCGTGATTTCTGGTAGGCCCAGGAGGAAGAGCGGGAAGGACTCAAGAGAAGGACGAGGAGGAGCAGCTGGAGCTGGGCGCTGCGGATTGAAAACGAGGACTGCACAAACACAGGAGGGCTTCGAATCACCGAAGGAGGATGAGGGTGAGAAGATAACAGGCAACGCCGACAGGACTGCACCCTGATCCCAGCGGCGGCAGGATACCTTTGCGGTCAGAGAGGAGCTGTGCTGAATCAGCGAGTGCGTCATTACTCACATGAATTGCGGTAAACGTTTCGGCGACCTGCGCCCGAGGACTTCGAGCAAGCAGTTAACGTATTCGGCAGCCACCGAACGGGCAGTCGAAGAGCTTCGCGAGACCGGGGCCTTACAGCGTCTTGCTGGGGCACTCGGCGCGGTTGAGCCCTTTCAGAATCGCATCCTGTGGATAAACGGGTGGTCCTCGGGGTCCCCACGCACTCCATGGCGCTGCTCGGCATGCCTTCAACCGACTCTGCGTCGCAATCAGATTCAGGCCTGTCTTCCACTGCACGGATGTGCGTTTTTGCAAACTGAACACTGCGATTGGAATGGTATTGGATTGTGATTGCGTTGATTTGCATCGGGTTGCATGCTGTAGTATTGTCCTACATCGTGTTGCATTGCACTGCAATGCATCTGGACTGTGTTGCATTGCCTGTTCATGCACTGCATCTCATTGGCTTGCACTGCGTCAAGGGCATGTGACCACGCTTCATGTTGAATTGATGCGCGGTGTCTCGCACTGTCACAGCATTGGCTGCCAATTAGTAACATACAATGGCGAAGCACTTCTAAGGTGAGATCGACTGCGCGGTACGCCAAGTTGTGCCATGATATGCCAATGTCTGCTATGGTACGTATGCGACTGACGTGTTTGATCACGCCATCCGACGCAAGAACATGACATACAATGCAATGCCAGGCTATACACTGCAACGATTCGCTATGCTAAACAATGCTGAAACATGCGCATCTTAAACATGGGGCAATATGCAATGTTATGACATGCGCAACTATGCGATGATACGCTGTGGTACGCGATGGCGTGGTTTTACATGCTGTGTTATGCCACCATCAGCTATCCATCGCCATGCCATGGGAGCTTGTGCTAAGCTGTGGAACGTCTACGCTATGCTGACACGCCATGGTATACAAGGCTGTGGTCTTCTACACTACCAACTACACCATGTCATGGTACGATATGGTACGCAATGTAAATATACACTAAATAATAATGAGACCGTATTTTTCCAGCGGAGAACGTCTGCTACTATCTGACAGGGTTATAACACACAGCTGGGACGACGTGAGATCGTTAGAATCACACGTCCAAGGCATTCCAAACATCCCGAATAGAAAGGGTTCACGGGGGCGAAGGAGGGGAAGAGAGGAGGGGAACAACGAAAACAAACAAGGCATGAGCCTCATTGGGCCTTGGTACGAGCGGGGCCGCCCGAGTTGTACGAGCAGGAAGCGTGCTTCTTAGCGGCTAGAGATTTAGCCAGAGCAGTGGCAAGGCGAGAGGGGTAGGGCTGAGCAATTGAGGTCCACAAAACATTCTGATCATTGCGGCCACTCAGCTCGATGTGACGGCGGAAAGTGCGAGAGCACCTACCTGCTTTTCCAGTGCACACTCTGTCCAGTGAGCAACTGTCCTCAGGATACATATTGCCACAAACCAGCCATGTCCTCTTTCGCCACGGCGTACCCCACTGACAGAAATCTGTAAGTCGCCATTCAGCATGCGCTTGGCTGCACAGAGCCAATATCTCTGGGATGAACCACAGGCGGGAAGTTGACGGATTTTCAAGTATCCACGGAATTTTGTGGCGATTGAGGTGTCTGAGAATGCGAATCACGGCCCGAATTATCTTGTTGCCAGTCTCGAGTGAGGCTCGGTCCCGATCTGTAGCATCAGTCAGGTCAGTCCCCCATGGTTGAGTGCGTGACCGTATCTGAAAAGTCCTGTCTCGAGCAATGGTCAGCGAGGTGCAGGGGAGAGCGATCATGGCGGCGAAGATCTTGCCGTCACGGATGTCCGACAACAGTAGGCGGAGCACCGCCGGGTCTGTGAGGTCATGGTTGGGCCCGTGGATGATGTCCCAGGCCTTAGCTGAGAACCCCAGCCGCGTGACCGCCCGAGCAACCTTGCCTGAGCCAGAGAACAGGTCGGCCATGTAGGTGCCGTCCTTAGCTAGCCGCGGACGGGCGGTGCCCTTGGAGCAAGCTTGGGCGACCAGAGGAACTCGACGAACTGGTCCTTGCACAAAAACACGTGTGCTGGCATCTCGGCAGCGAGCTCGTTCCAGAAGCTTCCGAGGCGGGCGCTCTTGTAGCGTATGAGACTCTTCCAGCGCTTCCACCTTTCGAGCCTCTGACTCTCCTCCTGGCTGCGATCTGGCTTGAGGCGATCTATCCACGTCCGCGAATGTCTCATCAGGCACGGTACAAGGTGCAACAAGCCCAACATCTTGGCGACAGTCTTGAACTTCGCCCAGAAGGTGAGACAATCGAAGGACCACAGCCGGCCGCCCTTCTCCTTCAAGGCCTGGAGGAAATCGTGACCCCACGGCAGCATGTGGGCCGAGACGATGATCAGCGAATCGTCCGCATCGCCGGTCTGGCTCCTCTTTTCCCTCTCTGAAGGATGCAAAAGGAGGCTCCAGTACTGCGACACCAGCGATCCCGGGGCCACCAGGTTGGCCGAGGTAAGGTTGAGGAGCTCTGGCCTGAGGTAGCAGCTGACTCCGTTCATCACGGCGACACCCATGACAAGCTCGCCCCGCCTCGCGAACTCCACCGCGATGGCACACCGAACCAGCAGGGGAGCGGGCGTCTTGCCGTCGAGACTCCTCTCCATCTCGTCGGCCGTAGTAGTGCCATCGCTGTCCACGTCGGCGGCCGCGGCGGTGGCAGCGGCCGTGACTGCTGCTGTAGCCCAGGCGGGCCTTTTGGCTGCCAGAGTCACCAGGGATCCTCTGGTTAGGGGCACCTTCCCAGTATCCAGCATCGAGCGCGTCTCCGGTCGCAGCCAAGTAGGCGTCGTCGTTAGCCCCGTGGTCGCTGAAGGCGGACAGGAAGTCGCCGTCGGAAGCGCTCCGACCGTCGTGACCCAGCTCCTCTGGCCAGCGATGGTTTGGCTCGGCGCCTCCAGGCTGCGGGTCCGCATCATGGCAGTCGTGGAATACGCTGCAGGCAAAAGAATCTGGGTTCTCGAGCGATTCGGGAACTTGAGCCGGCACGTCGACGGACCGAGGTGGATCCGCAGGCTGAGGCAGGACGTCTCCGGGTCCGTGTCCGTCAGCCACCAGGCGAGTGAGATCCTTCGTGGAGTCGTAGTTGGGGTCGTAGATACGGGACCCAGCGTCGCTACTGTTGAGCTCTGAGGGATGCCACCTGAACCCAAATCGAACCCCTCGGCCCAAAGCGTAGGCCGCGATTCGTCTGATCTGCACCAAGAGCCCGAAGCTGCGGGCCCGAAATCTTTCACAAGCTAATATAACTGACATATTATCTCCCAATAACAATACTCTGCATAATCCACCTGGAACGCAATTACAAACTCTTGCGACAGCTTTGACCAGGGCGCGGGCCTCGAGAATCAGGATATCCTCGGAGTAGGCCCACTTGCCATGCAAAATCAAGCGCCACCGATCCCCGTGGAGGAGGGCCCCAGGAATCTCAGGGAAATCCTCACGCATCTCCCAAGCTCCAGCTTCCCGAACGTCCGAAGGGTCACGCTCTTTCTCATCGTCGACCTGCCAGCGATCGGTGGTGGGTGAGTAGACGAACCCCGCGGCGGCGAGGGCACTGGCCCGAGCCGGCAACCCTCCGAGTCGACGGAAACGAGATCGCTCAAGAATCCTGCCCTGCTTTTTCACCATCGACACTCCGAACTCGGAGCTGGCTATCCCCCAGCCGTACGGGCTGGCGTCCACGGACAACACCCGCGTGAGCCACGGCCGATCCCACTCAGACCGAAGGAGCGGCATCAGCCCGAGGAAGCACTCGAGCTCCTGACGTGCGGACTCCCACATGTCGCTCCTGGCCCAGTACCGCTCACGGATGAAGGTGTAGACGGTGTGCCACACGGACAGGGTCTCCCGGCACATCAAACCAACGAATGTACAGTGGCCAAGCAATACTTCGAGCTCTCGCCCTGCCAGGCGCCGCAAGGAGAGGGCCCACCGGAGGCCGAGTCTCACCTTCCAGTAGCGCCGGTGGTTGACGAGGGTCTGGTGTTTCTGGCCATCGAGCGTCACTCCCAGCGCCTCGGCAGTGTCGGAGCCCACCGAGATGTCATGCATGACGAGGCCCGCGGCGTCGAAGGCCGCGATGGTGTCCGCCAGAGCCCCCTTGACGTAGGAGGCATCGAGCGACATGAGCCCAACGTTGTCGACGTATACGTAGTGCCAGGAGGAGGTCGGAGACAGCACGATGGGGGGCCCTCGATCGGTGGCCGCGCAACTCGACGCCGCCGCGGGGACCCGTTCCACCAGGCCGAGGTTGGCCACCTGAGCGAAATAGAGCGACCACGTCCAGCCCATGGGCAACGCGAGGGCGCACGGCCAGAGGTAGTCGTCAGCGCGAGCGGGCACCCCCTCCACCAGCTGCCCGACGATGCCAAGCTCCTTGGCCAGGCCGCCCGAGTAGCAGAAGTACTTGGAGAGGTGGTTGCCGAACATCATGCGGTGGAAGCAATCCTTCACGTCAGCTTTGCCCAGGAAGATGGGCAACGTGCCGGTCTGCTCCGTGTCGCACTCGATCCGACCAAGCCCTTCGGTCGACAGCAGCTCGACCCCAGGAGGGGTCACGAAACGTTGATTGGAGCGGCGACAGTCGAGCACCATCCTCATGGAGGCGCGCTCCTTCTTCCAGACGAAGAAAACACCCACGAACTCCTTGGGATCGCGGGTGAAGCCCACCATGCCTTTCCGCTTCAGATCCTTCACGAAGGTGGAGTACCGGCGGCGACTATTGGCGAGCAGGGGGTCGGTGTAGATCTTGATTTCGCCATTCGTCTCACGGTCAAGCTGGACCTCAGCATCGGTCCTGATCATCTGCTCCTCTGCCTCTACCAGATACTCGAGGGCGCGCCCCGTGACCAAGGTTCCCACGGCCGGGGCCGTCGAGACGTCACAAGGAAGAGAAACCGCGCCCCGTTGGTAGGGTGCCAGGGTAGTGTAGGCCGTCTCGGTGTCGTAGACCCCGCGGCCTCGAAGTGGCCCCTGAAAGGCCTCCTTCGGAGAAAGGTCGGAGGGTGGGTCCAGTTACGTCTGGGCCCCCTGGGCGACTCGCACCAGCACCTCACGTTGAAGTTGAAACCGGTATGGATGGACGTCGCCTCGAGCACGTCGGGCGACCTCACGATGACCAGCACCCCGCAACCAATTTAATGAGCGCACACACTCCCGCCAATCCCTCACGAACCGGCGCTGGGCACGCCCCTGAAGGTGGATCCAGAAATCCGCGACGAGGCTGGAGTCGTCGGGCAACGGGGAGATCTCCGCGGATCCGCGTGCAAGCCCAGGAAGGCGAACGGCGGAGGTTGGGCCAGTCCCACCGCCGAGGGTCACATCACTCATTGAGTCTCCGCCGCGGCAGCGGCGCCTTCGCCTCCCCTCGGGGCTCCACGGCCCGATCCTTTGGAGGGCTGGCCCGCCACGGCGGCGACAGGTGCACTGCGTCCAGCGGCAGGGGGGCCGCCAGCAGCGGCGGCGTCGGCAGAGATCAAAAGGTTGCGGGCCTGCACCCGCATGGACTCGACCTCGGCCTCGCCCACGGCCGTCATGGCCACGTAGTGCTCCAGCTCGGGCGCGACCATGACCACCGCAAAACCCACGCTGGAGTAAAGCCCTGCGCTGGCCCACTGCGGCCAAGAGGAGTCACCCGAGTACACGTCCACATTACTGTGGAAGCGGCGCGCTATGAACTCGAAGATGAACAGCGATGGCTTGTTGAGCTGGTCGTAGGAGCCCCCCTCGTAGATGACCTCGCAGAGGACGGAGAGCTCGTGTATGACCTGCTCGCGCGGCCAGAGAATCTTCGAGCGAGACCAGAGGTCAAGGCACCTCCTGACGATGTCGCCATGCCGATCAGAGTGGCTGGGGATAAACATCGGGCAGACCCGCGCCTCCACAGGGCTGTCGGTCCACACCGTGGGGTAGCTCTCCATGACCTCATTACACCAAGACTTGAGCGGGTCGTTCATGGCGTCAGTGTCCACCCACAGAGTGCGAACATCGCTCGGCTCGGCGGCATCTGCAGGGGCGGTCGGCTCGGCTCCATCGCCGGGGGAAGGCGCGCGGCTCGGCACGATCCCGACACGCCGCCCGAAGTAGATGGGCGCGCCGCCGACGTAGCGAACCGCCACCTCGTAGGCCGAGGTCTTCATGGTCGCGTAGTCGGCCACGTTGGTCTCAGAAGCGCTCCGCATCGGCACCGTCTCGCCGTCAATGTCGGCGACGCCGCGGTCACCCAGCCCGATCATGACGTATGCGTGCAGCACAGGGATTCCCAACTCCCCGATCCGACCAGGCTTGCTGGCCAGCCAGCGATGACGCTCGCCGTCGGCGGCCAGCATGCTGCCGCCCGCGCACCCGGCGCCGCCAGGTGACTCGGCGGCTCCAGCGCCCGCGTCGGCGACAGGTGGGTTGCCTTCCTTGCCGGCGAGCCTCACCTGCTCGCCCTGGGGACGGCGGCGACGGGGCGGGCGCTGGCGCCCATCCACCGACAGGCAGTATGACGGGCCTGCTGGCGTGTGGCGATCGGGCTCAGACTCCCGCAAGGGTGCCACCTCGATGCGGGCCTCCACGATCAGCCCGTGCAGTACGTCGTCCGTCAGGAACATTGCGAGCGGCACAACCTCCGCCACGTAGTACGGCAGAGACCTCGACGACTGACCCGTCGTCAGAGGGTACACCTTGTCCCCGTCCTTCTCCTTTCTCCACCTACATGTCGCCGCCGTCCGTGTACACGATCCAGGGACAAACGTCACATGCCCGCATGATGACGCGCTCGTGCCTGAACCCGAGATCAAGGACGAGCGACACGAGCAGCTGCGCCCCCGACTGCCAGTCTCGCTCCGCTGCGGATCGCACGGAGCTGCGTCGAGTCGGGCCGTGCAGCACAGCGGCACAAGTACAGCACGAAGAGCTCCTCGAGGACCCCGAACCCCAAGCGCCCGGCGAGAGCGAGGTCGGCCGAGAACGCGAGGCCTCCCACGCACGGCCAGAGGACCTCGATCGCCGCGGCACCGTCGGGCGCGAGCCGCACTGAGGGACCCAGCGAGGGCAGGCCCGGCGGCTCGGGCGCCACTGACGACGGGCAGGTGCCAGCAGGAGCAGTCCCACAGCGGAGGCTCCGAACCCCAGCCGCCGGCCGCCGCGCGGCCTGGGGCTGCCAGCGCGGAGCGCCCAGCAGCGAAGCCGGCCACCCAGTCCGAGAGCGAGGGGGCTATCGCGGCAATCCAGGTGAAGAGTACTGCCTGGGATGGTGTGACGGCCATCGAGCGAGAACCCGTGCCTTTGACGCTTGAGCCCGAGCGGTTGCGATGAGCAACGTGAGGGGCCAAGCCTGGACACGACACCCGAAAAACCTTTCTCATCATTCCCGTGCACGCACTAACATGCTACGCTATGCTATGCGATGCTATGACGTGCTATGCGGTGTCGGGTTGTGAACCGCTACGCGGTGTCATGCTACACTAGGCGCTGCTGTTCAACATTATGTCAATCGCTAGACTGTGATGTTCTACGCGGCGCGGTGTCTACACAGATACGTGTTTCATCATATACAGTTGGACTGCATATGTGTGCCTCCAACTGAAGAAAGCCCAGAATTGGGTTCGCGCCGCGTTCTTCTTTTTGCCTCGCGGTCATCCCTGACACGGCTAACCAATCGCAACGACCAGTGAGAAGTCGACGATGTTGAAGATGCTAGCCAGACTCCTGCCTGCTGTGCTGCAGTCCACGCCAGAGCAACAGTGCGTATTGCATGGGACATGTCTGAGCAGGGGCCTGTGAAAGCACAGATGCCAGAAACCAAGGAAGAACGGTCAAGGTAACGTAGGTGATGTGGCGAGGCACTCAGAACTTGCGGACCCAACGTTTGCCGTCCTCGAACGTGATGGTCTGGTTCGGCAACATTTCGCCGTCGGGGAAAGGAGGCTCCACGTGGACCTTGTAACCCCTGACGAGACCGCGATGCATCTGCCCATCCGAGAGGCTGAAGGTGATCCAACAGCGACGCTGCAGCACTTGGATCGTCTCGTCATGCCCGTCCGAGAACCGCTTGTCGCCGCCGAGGTTGACGCAGCCGGCCGCGGCGACCTCGTCCGCGGCAGTCTTCGCGAGCGCGCGCTCGCGGGCACGCCTGCGGGCACCCTTGGGACGAGAGGCCTCGGAGCCCGCCGCGCCCTCTAGCAGCGAGGCCCCCGCGTGGACGTGCCCGTGGGCCTTCCGGAGGGCGCCCCTGGGACCACCGCCCTCGGAGCCCACGGCACCTTCCGGCACGGCGGCCTTCCTGTGGACGCGCTCGGGGGCCTCCCCGCGGGCGCCCCGGGGGCGTCCGGCCTCGGAGGCCACCGCGCCCTCCACCTCCAGCACGGAGGCCCTCGCGCGGACGCGCTCGGGGGCCCTCCCGCGGGCACCCCGGGGACGGCCCGCCTCGGAGCCCGCGGCGCCCTCCAGCACGGCAGCCTTCCTGTGCTCCTGCTCGCCGGCCTGCCTGCGGGCGCCCTTGGGACGACTGGCCTCTGACTACCTACCAGACCACCCCACCCCAACCCGAAGACCCGAATTTCGGGTGGGGGGGGGGTATGGGCTCCACATGTGTTTTTCGATGCTCCCGGACCCCCCCCCCCCTGGAAATGGAGGGCAAGTGGAGGCCTTCGGGTTGGGTTGGGGTGGCTTGGTGGGTGGTGAGCCTCGGAGTCCACTGCGCCCGCCAGCGAGAAAGCCAACGACATCAGCACTGCCGCCGCCAGCCCGCGCGCCATCGCCGGCGAGGACCCGTCCGGCCGAATCCGCCGCCGGCCTCCCGCGGGGGTGCCAGGCTGCGGGGAGTGCTGACAGGCGGCTGCCTCGTGCTCTCTCATGTGCCCTGCGTGTGTTTTTGGTCGCATGCCTCCGCAGCCCTGCCTCCACTTTCATGCATGGGGCCCAGGACGCCAAACAGCAACAAAAACGAAGAGAGGGAGGGGACACTCAAATTCCTGAAAGCTCGAGTTCGGTGGCAACTGTTGGTAGCCTCCCATAATTACCATCTTGTCGGCTTTTGCGAATCGACCCTAGTCGACGCTAAATCGACGCTAGTCGACGCTAAGTCAACTCGAATCGACGCTAACCGACGCTAAATCGGCACTATCTCATGGACTCCCACACGCACATCGACGCTCATCGACGCAAACGACGGAACTGAGAGGTATACCAGGCCCCCGCGATGCGGGGGCGATGCATCGTCGACGGCGGCGATGCATCGGCGACGTCGACATGAAGCAAATCGGGCTGCACATCGAGCTGCATCGGCGATGCATCGGCGATACGGCGAGGTCCTCCGACCCCATCTGTGAGGCCTGAGAGGGGGGGGGCCCTCAAAATTCCTGAAAGCTCGGGGTTGCCCCAGGATTCCCTGTGGTCGCCAACGCGCAGCAAGGAGGGCCCAAGCGGCCTCGAAGACGGCCCAAGAGACTCCGAAGAGGACGTGAAGAGCCCAAGCGGGCGCAAGCTGGGCCCCCATTTGCCTTTGAGACTACCCGGGAGGGTCCCAAAACGCTCCCAAGAGAGCACTCCAAATTGCCACGCTGCGGTGTTTTCATGGCCTGGTGCATGTCACACGTTTTCCTCCCCAAATGTCCAAGCATCGCCTCAAGACTGCCCACAGTTAACCGTCGACTGCCAAATACAGCCTCAATGTAGCCCCCAAAGATGCAGACCACCGCTAACACATGGCCCCCCAAAAAGCTCCGACACAGTCCCAACACGCCGCCGAGATGGGAGCCAGAGGTTTCAAGATAGCCCCGAGATTGCCCAGGCTGGCACGAAGGTGACCCCAGCGGCCTCCGAGATGTCTGCAAGGTGGCACGGAGGTGTCCCCGAGGCTGCTGCAACACGACCGCAACGAGGCTCAGCCGAGGGAACCGGAGGCAGGAGGCGCAGCCCGTCAGATATGTCTATAGAGGGAGCGGTGTTGTTCGATGGCAGATATCGGGGAGGCGTACGACTCGGGTGCAGGGGACTCGGGTTGGCCCGACGGGGCCATCATAAAATATGACGAGACCCAACCTGAAACGTGACGCGATCTCCCGCTGCAAACCTCCGGCAAAAACTGGACCGTCGAACTCCCCGCCGTGCTCGTCAAAAAACGGAGGCAAACCCGAGTTCTGGCTTACGGCAGGTCCGTGTTGTGCCGACTTCGGCGTTGGTTTCTGACACCGCGGGGATCGTTCAACCTTGAACGATCGGCCGTCTCCGCAACGTCCAAATGTTCAACATCGAACGATTCTGGGTCGCCCGCGGCGTTCAAAGTTGAACGCCGCTGGCGGGGTCGCCGCCAGTCGACACGACGCGAACCTACCGTACTCGAGTCTTACGTTTCCCCGAAGATGGCTAGGGTCAGAACAGCTGTTGATCATGCGAGCGTTTCGAGCATGGCAGCAGGCCGTGTTCGAGCATGGCGCATGCGGCCAAGGACCGCGCGCGTCTGGCCCCAGCTCGAGCACTCACGCCCACGGATGCGACACATTCCTCCTCCTCCCCCCCTCCCTCTCCTCCCCTCCCTCCTCCTCCTCCTCCTCCTCCTCCTCCGCCTCTCCTCCTCCTCCTCCTCCTCCTCCTCCTCCCCCTCCTCCTCCTCCTCCTCCTCCTCCTCCTCCTCCTCCTCTTGATTTCTCAGAACTCCGCGTGATGGGCCTCCGAGTGTTCCGGTGGCACCTGCATTCGCAACCGTACTGGCACGATCGGATTCGGAGGTATTGCACGGAACGGTCGCACGAGCTGAATCAGTCTAACTGGCCGCGCGCAGGGGAGGGCCTTCCTCCGCCGTTGATACTCCGACCTCCTCGTGCGCCGACCGTCGCATACGCCGTCGCTCATAGTGAGACTCGTTCACGCTCGAGCCGCGCCGGAAACGCAGCCATGCTCAGGCTTGCTCGCTCGCGCTCACTACTCCGGTGACCGCGAGGGAGCGGGCCTCGCACTCGGTCGAGGGGCAGCAATGACACCAACCGCTCGCGCCCAGGTTGGTGGGACATCTCAGAAAAAAGGGGCCTCTTGGGAGACAGGCATCTCTCTGCTTCCAGCCTTACGTCGGGCGTAACCCTCCTACAGGCGGGTTTTGGACGAACCATAACAACTACTCAAAAATACTCCCCAATGGTCAGACATAGTCAGACATCGGTCCTCAGGCTATTCTGTTGTGACTACTTTTGGAAATCCGTCCTGTAGAGGGGCAGGCACGACTTAATCGCAACCCCATGGCCTCCGCGTCCTCGCGGGCACCGCGCACCGGCTCCCGAGACGGGTGGGGCACCATAGGGGAGGCTGCCACGGGGGGGTCCCTCGGTCCCGCGTAGCGTTGCGGATGCCATGACAATGGACACCCTAACAATCCGATCACTGGATCAAAGCATGTGTTTGATACGTAGGAAACGTGTTTAAAACATGTGTAACACATGCGTCTTACATGTTTAAGGCATGTTTGAAACTTGGTTTCGACATATGGGAATTACTTGGCTACGTGCTTCCTCTCCGTTGATCGTCGTCCACAAGGTCAGCGCGCGGAGGTCCACGGACACATACAACATACATACAAGTATCCCCGAGTTTCCGATGGCCCCCCGGCTCCAGGAAGCCGTCAGGATGCGCACCCAGGAGAGGTTCCTGGGAGCGCTCGGATGCCCGATTTAGTTACCACCGCGTCTTGACTGCAGATCGCTCGCGGACTGCCAGCGTCTGCGGCTCGAGAGGGCCGGAGAGAACCCCACCGGCGAGCAAATGGCCTCGGCGCTGGTCAGAGAGACTCCAAACTAGAGGATCACCGAGGGGGTGGCCCTAACACCGGCGAAGAGCTGGCCGCGGCAGCACCGAAAGCGCCTCGGGCAGATCAGCGCCGCCCCCTAGGAGGAGGAGGAGGAGGAGGAGGAGGAGGAGGAGGAGGAGGAGGAGGAGGAGGAGGCGGAAGAAGGCACAGGAGGAGGAAGGCGGAGGAGGACGAGGAGGAGGAAGAGGAGCAGGAGGAGGAGGAGGAGTCAAGAGGGAGGGAGGAAGGAGGGAGGGAGGGAGGGAGGAGGAGGAGAAAGCGAAGGAGGAGGGAGGAGGGAGGAGGAGGGGGAGGAGGAGGAGTAAGAGGAGGAGAAGGAGGAAGGCGGAGGAGGAAGAGGAGCAGGAGGAGGCGGGGGAGGAGGAAGGCGGAGGAGAAGGAGGAGGAGGACCTGAGCCTCGGCCAACCGATCCAGAGCCCCACTGGCATGGCCTGGGACCCGATTGGCCGACCCAACCCCGCGGTGGTGCCGCCTCTTCTCCCTCCGGAAGGCAGCACACAGGCATGCTCGGGCAGCGTGGCCCCTGACTGCCCGTCGTCCTTTTTTGCCGCCCCCGAAGATAGCAAACGAGCTGCTTCCCGGAAAAAAAAAACACTTCCCCTGAGCTCCGTTTTAGCAGCCGCGGGTTTGCCAGCCTTCGCCTGGCCTCTGAGCCTGGAACGAGTGCTGCGGATATCCCGAGGGACACAGGGCCCGGACCCTGGAAGGCTCTCCAGCAGGGATCAGCCCATCATCGCCGGGTAGCTTCGTGTCGGCCCCCGGAGCCCTGGGATAGCAGGGCACATGCGAACCTCATCCCACCACCCCGCGATTTCCAAGGGGGAGGTGGGGTTCGTTTCGCTCGGGAGATCCCGAACGACGTCAACCCAACCTCCCCCCTTAGAAATCCTAGGGTGGTGGGGCAGGGTTCGCATGTGGCCTCCCATGGGATGAGTCCCGAGAGCCAGAAGAACGGCGAACCCGTTTCCCTCAGTGGACAAGCGCGTTCCACTACTCGCAAAGTGACTATTCGCTAATGGCCTGGAACCGCCGTAGGGAATCTTTGAAAAATTACAGACAGGACGACATGTTTTTTGTTCGGACGTTTGCGAGTAGGCACTTTGCGAGTAGTGGAACGCGCCCCGTGACTCAGGGCCCGTCTGCCTCACGGCAGACTGCACCCGAGAGGCCACACACCCCGCCGGCCGGTGGGCGCCCCAGATGTTGGCGATCTGCCCCACCAGCGTCCGCACCTGGCCGCCGCGACGCCCCGCCGTGGACGCTCGGCCGCCGCCCTCCCCTCTCCTCTCCTCGCCTCGCCCCTCGACCGCTCTCTCTCTCTGCCTCTCTTCCTATCTTGCTCTGTTTGTATTGTTTATCTCTTTCTCTCTCTCTCTCTCTGTGTGTCTGTTGTTTGTTTCTCTCTCTATTTCGCTCACACTATCACCATGTCTATATATATATACATGTATATACATATGTTTATATAGATATATATGTCGCTCTCTCCCTGCTTCCGTCCTCTCTTTCTCTGTCACTATTGATGCGCATGCCAACCATTATCCATGTGCACAGGTGGCCACATGTGAATATGCTTGTCTAGCGGTGGGTGCATGTGTAAATGTGTACGCGTATAAAAATAGGTATATGATTTAACCAAACTGATATGGTTATATATATATATATATCCATACATACACACATCTATACTCCAGACGGACTCTTGTTGTCAGAAAGGGCTCACATTTCTTGCGGGTCGTGGTCACTGCGACCACGACGCATGGCACATAACAGGGTCCTGGCGAAAGACCCAAACATGCGCAGGCCTGACTATCGCAGATCAGGCGGGGCGAAAGGGGCATCTTCCGAACGGCGCTGCGAAACTGCTAAGGGATGCGCCCACATAGGCGGGGGGACCGCATGTGAACGCCCTCGAACATGTGAAAACACACGATGGGGCCTTAGGTGGAGTTTCTACTGGGGCCGCAACGCGCGTGAGAGGTGTGCCGGAATGGGCGGAGGGCCGCATGTGAACGCACCCGCTGGGGCCGTAGGTGGAGCTCCGCGTGGGGCCACGAGCCGCGCGAGGCGCGTCTCGAGTTGTGCCGGGGGGGGGGCGCGTGTGAACGCACCAACAGGGGCCCTAGGTCGAGCCCCCTCTATGGGGCAGCGAAGCGTTTGAGGGGTGTGCCGAGTTGGGTGGGGGGACCGCACTGGGCCACGTAGCGTGCGAAGGGCGCGCCAAAATGTGACTTCATGTGACCGCGCCCACTGGGGCCGCAGGTGGAGCCCAGTATGGGGACACACAACCTTGGCGCGGACGCCAAACGGCTCGGCGAGTCGCACCGCGACGATGGGCGCGGCGCTCGACCATGGCCGCGCGCAGCGGTGCCCCGAGCCGACGGTGGCTTGGGCACAGCCGGAGTCGCTGGCCCAGCTGCGCGCCCAATGCGAACACCCCAAGCCGAATGGCCACCAGGGGGGCGGTGGGCGGGCAAAAACCGCACCGCAGGTGCCCCCTCGCCAAACGTGACGGGCCCCCCCCTCAGACGAGCATGCGCGGCGCCCCCCCCGACCCTGGGCGGCGCACGCGCCCCCTCGCGCGCTCGCCCATGCAGGGGGGGCGGATTGCGCGACGCCTCGCGCCAATCGCTTAAACTTGCGTCGCCCCGCGCCGCTGCGCGCCGCGCGGCGCCCCCCCTTCCCTTTCGCCCAAACATGGGGGCTGGCGGGGGGCGCCCGCCCCGCTGCGTCGCGCCCGCGATCAACGTTGCAGGACGATCGCCCACCACAAAGCCTTGGAGCGGACGCCAAACGGCACGGCGAGTCGCACCGCGACGATGGGTGCGGCGCTCGACCATGGCCGCGCGCAGCGGTGCCCGAGCCGACGGCGGCTCGGGCGCTGCCTGCGTCGCTGGCCTAGCCGAGCGCCCAGTGCGAACGCCCGCTGTCACGGGGCGGCGGGCGCTCGGCGGGGGCCCAGCCTCGCGCGCCAAGCGCGCAGGCGCAGACCGACAGCACCGCGCGCCGCCAGTGCGCGAGCGCGCGCGCGCTCCACCTGGCATGCAGCCCAGGCACTCTTCTTCGCGCCTCGCTGTCGGAAGAGCAACTGTCTCCGGCCTCGAGAGTGGCGCCCCGCTCGAGCGACTCAACTGGAATATGCTCCATGAAGGCAGCGCTCCGCCAGCCGCCCGCGCAAAGTATTCCGGCCAGTCCGGCCCCGCAGACTAAGTCGAGCGCGTGCCCGCGACGCGGCGCCTGTGAATCGAATTTCTCCGGGCGCGCCACGCCTGCCGCCCCGACCGACCCGGATGGCGGCCACGGCGTCGGCGGGAGAGAAGCTCGCAAAGGCTTGCGGGCCCGCGCCAGCTTTCTCGAATAATGCGCCGAGGACGCGCGCTGGGCACGCGCCTTTGCCGCCCTCAGCGCGGCGCCAACGAGTGCGCCAAATTGCAACGGATCGTTCCGAATTCTCGCGCCGCTGCAAACGAAACCTATCGCCTCTTCTGAGGTGCGCACCGATGCCTGGCGCTGCTCGTTGAACTCCGAGCCATCGAAAACAGCGGGCAAGCCCTCACTTGGTTGGCGCAGCAGAAACGCACACCCGAAACACATGGGCATTGCCACGCCCCGTCTGATTGATGCGGCCACAGGGGGCGAGATGCTCGCATCGACGACAGCTACCGACCCTGGAAAAGGAGGACAGGGCGCCGGCCATAGAACGCCCAACTCTCCGGCTCACTGGAAATCACGGATCGATCGGGCCGGGGGGGGGGGGGGGGGAAGGCGGCCGTCGACACGAACGAACAGAACATCAAAAAAACACAAAAAACACAAGAGAAATATACCAGAAATAAACAAGCAAAGAAAATAAAAAACACTCAACAAATAAAAAACCACCAACAAAAAAAAATCAGAAATGCGAAGGAAAAAAGCACTATTATCACATGGAAAAAATAATAAACAAAAAAAAAAAATTAATCAAAAAAAAACCAGAAAAACTAAAAAAAACAAAACAAAAAAAAAAAAAACTAAAATAGAACACACAAACAACAACAAAACAAAACAATAAAAAAAAAAACAAAGGGGGTAAGGGGGGAAAACACAAAACAAAAAAAAACAAAAAAAAAAAGAAAAAAAGGGGGTGAAAATCTCAGATACGCCGCGCGCCAGTGCCCGCAATAATTTGCGAACGCGCCGCTCGCGCGGACAAGGCACTGCGTCATCTGAGGTCCCTCCCGCGCCGAGGATAAAACGGAGAAACCCCCGCCCAAATGGCGCACTTTGAGAATCGCAATGGCCTCGAACGCACCGTGCGGATATGCAGCGCTACGCCTGACACGGGGGGGGGGGGAGGACAACTGCCAACGCTGCGTCTATGGAAAATAAGAATCAAAGCCCGACCCTCGACCTCGCGAAGGCCGGCGTTCAGGCGAGCTGGCGTCATTACCGCCGGCGCCGCCGAGGGCGCGCCGGTATGGCCTCCTTCGCTGGGCGCGGCCAACTGGTTTGCGTACGAAACAGCATAGTCGACGACTGCCTCGGCCGCACCTCGCGCTCGCGAGCCCGCCGCAGGATCGCCGCGCGCGTCGCCAGGGCACAACGTTGCACGCAGTTGCCCCAGCGCCGCCGCCCCGGCCTCGCCGCCTGGCCTCGGCCGCCAGCCTGGCGGCGGCCCTGGCGGAGGCCGCGGGCGCACTGCGACGCTCGAGCGCGCCGACGCCGGCAGGCGGGGGGCCGGGGAGGGGGCGCGGCCCCGAGCGATCCTGCCTGTCAACAAGCGCCGCTGGGGCTCTGGCGGCCAGGAGGCACGCGGGCGGCGCTGTTTCTGCTTCATTGCAACGGTTGCACCGACCGGATGAGAAGCCCTCGAGAGCCCGCATGCCCCTCTGGAATTTTGCTTCATTGATGGCCCTGCGCGCGTCCACCACGCGCGGCGTCTAGCGGCCCGCGGGCGTGCCGCCTCGTCGCGACTTCGCTGCTGCGTGGTGACCATTGAGTCAGACTGACATCGGCGTCGACGTCTGCCAGATGCTTCCAGTGGAACACATCCTGCGACTTGAAGTACGCGACAAGGCTGACGTAAAACGCAAGCGGCTGACGCCGCAAACCGCACGCACAAAGCCAATGGGCGAAGACCGTCGCGTCCGACATCTCCCCGCGGCGCCTCTCCGCGACCGCGCGTCGCGGGGCTTGCGCGGGACAGCAAACGCATCGCAAGCCGCCGAGCCACCCAACCGACACAGACAGCAGCACTCAGCGGGTCCTTGCGATCGAGGCCCACTGCTGAGGGGCGTTGAATCGACTGTCCAACGTCGGTTCTACATGAACCGCATTCAACTGAAGGCGCCAGGCCGCAGTCTTGCCGGGGCGGCGGATTCGCGATATTCGCGGCTGAGGGCGCCCGATGGACCCACGCGGATGCCGAGAGTTCGGCCGCCAGGGCCCACGCTCCGCGCAAGGCAGGCGTGGTCAAAATGGCGCGCGGAGCCTCGCTCCACAGACTGCCCCGCCCCACGGTTGCCAGAGAAAATGTCAAGCACCGCGCTCGACAAAAGATGCCCGCTAGTCCACGTGGCCACAGCGATGGCCAGCAACTCCAAGCTCATAATATGATTGTCGCTGCGCTGCCCGAACAGCCGCAAAGCCGCGGCGGCCGTGGCCCAATCTATGTGCCACGCGCGTTCATGCACGAACAGCTCGGCCACCGCGCGCGGCGGGGCGCTTCGTGCACCGGCAATAAAATGACCCGCGTCCAGAAGGCGTGCTTTCCACTCCGACGCTTCGTGAAGGCCCGCTTCCAACGCTTCGCGTCACCACTCCAACGCTATGCGCAGCGAGGTGTTGAGGCGAGATCCGCGGCCACGCTGCCGCGCGAACAACGGTCGCAAGATAGCCCTGCCCAACCGCTTGAACAGACCTCCTACCCCAGGATAGCGCCCCAGCCAGCTTCGACGCCGCGCCCCGTTCAAATTAGCCCGACTCGAGCGCGCGAGCGATCGCGTCAGCCCACTTTCGCGCCTTGTTTGCCGACGGCGCGCAGAGGATGCCCGCGTCGAAAAAGGCGAAGTTGACCTCCAGCACGACAGGCCCATTGCCCCACTCGAGAAAGGCACGCGCAAGCTGCGCAAAAACTTCCATGCAATGCGCTGCCGATTCCACGGCGTCAGGGGCCAAGTAATCGTCGACATGCCGGCCCGCGGGGATCCGCAGCAAGCGCCGCGCGGCGCGCCTAAGGAAGGCGGCGACTCGGCCCCGTCCATGGGCGGGCCCCGATGCTCCAAACGGGAGCACGAAAAGCAGCGAGACCCACAGACGGCCGCCCGCCAAGACGGCGCTCCGCGCTGCGCGCGCGTGACCCGGGGCGAGCTGGATTCGCTTGCACGCGGCGCCAATATCCGCCATCCATAGGGGCGTAGGGCCGGCGCCGCGGCGCGCGCCTCAAAGAAAGCGCGGCGCGCCGCCATCGCGCGATCGACCCCGTCCGCGACGAGTTTCTCCCCGGGCGCGGTCGCCCCTGCACTGCCGGCGCGAGCGTCGCCATCGACGGGCCTGATTTTTGACGCCCCCGCCTGGCTTGCACTGCTCCGCGGGGAACGTCGGCAACGATCGCGCGTCGTCGCCAATGACTCGCGCGATCTCGGCTGCAGTTGCCGACGCCGGAGAAGAAATCGGCCGCGCCATCCGCCCGTGACTGGCGTCGTCGCGCGTCATCTCAAAGAGCGCGCTCGCCCCCTCGGCTTCGCGCGGCGCTTCAAAATCTTTCGATTGCGCGCCGCCGCGCCCGAGCGCAGGGCGGCGACGCCCGGGCAAGCGCCTTTCGCTTGCAGGGGCGCCATTCCCCGTCGACGGCAACGCTCCGACGATTGGCGCGCCCTCCGCAAAGCAATGCTCCACTCCGGTATCTCCGCATTTAGACCGCGCCACGAGCGCACGGAGCAACGGAATGTTGACTTCGCGAATTATTGGTTCGAGTTGCTGTGGCGCCTGCATGCGCCATTCCGCTGCCGCGCCGCTGTCTTCAAAAGAGCGGCCAAGGCGTTCGATCTCGCGGATCCACCCTTCCCTCGCGCGCACAACATCGCAGGGGCCTGGGCGTCGCGGACCACGCGGAGATATCGCGAATTCCGTCATCGGCGACAGGAAAGGCCGGCTTCGGGTGGGCAGACCCTAGCGCGCAGCGCGCGAACTCGAGTTTCGGCACATCCTCGGCTGCACCTCTGGGGGCTCACATCGCCCCCCGGCGCTCACGTCGCGCGCTGCGGCGCTCACTCGCCACAAGCTGGCGCCTCTATCGCACGTCGCTCTGGCCCGATGCCTGGCGCGCGGTGCGATCGTGGTCGGCCAGCGCACCCCCGCGACCCCGACGCGCCTCACGGGTGCTTGGGGCGCTTCTCGGGCGTCCTCCGGGCCGCCGAATGGCCGCGCTTGCCCTTGCGGTCCCCTTTGCTGGACCACTCACTCTTTCCTCCGCTCTGGTGGCCAACGCTCCAGCTACCGCGGTTGCCCCAGCCCCCGCGATGACCGCTCGCGGCAGACCCCGCAGACGGGTGCCATCGCCCCGGCGGTGGCTCGCCTGGCCTCCCTTGCCGCCGCGGTCGTTCCCCGCCGGGGGCGGCGGCCCACCACATCGAAGTGCATCGCCAAGTGCGGCCGCTTGCCAAGCGAGCTCGCGCGCGCTGCCACCTGCGGCGCGCAGTCGCCGACCCTCGCCACCGCGCGCTCCGGGCAGAGCACACCTGGGCCACGTGCTGCCTGTGACACCACAGTGGCAGAAAGCACGGCTGATCGTCTAAGATCGCCGCCGCGGCCATATACAGAGGAAAAAAAACTATGCACATACACCGATTCTGGCCAGGCCCATCCTGAGCCCAGGATCGGTGCATACGCCCTCCTACCTTGGCCAGGAAGGCATATGCACCGATCCTGGGTCAAGGATGGGCCTTACCAGGAACGGTGCATGTGCATAGTTCTCTTCGCCCTAATATTCGCATCGAAGGCCGCGTGCCACTGGCTGAACGGCACAAGCCCTTTCTGGGCCCCTGCTTTTGAAGGCCCCGGGGGCCAACAGAGGCCCCCTCGAGGCCGACAGCTGCCCGCCACACCACTCCGTCGTGCCTTCGTTCGTGACGCCAGGATGTTAGGTTTCCTCGTCCTCTTCCTCCTCCTCCTCCTCCTCCTCCTCCTCCTCCTCCTCCTCATCCTCCTCCTCCTCATCCTCCTCCTCCGCCTCCTTGTCCTCCTCCTCCTCCTCCTCCTCATCCGCCTCCTTGTCCTCCTCCTCCTCCTCCTCATCCCGCTGTCTGCGGAGAAACATCGGCCCGATAGTGGGCCCCTGGGGCACCGAGATTGACGGGCCTGTTTTCCACCACCACCACCACCATCAGTTGGAGGGGGGAAAGAGGTGGAGGAAGATGAGGAGGACGAGGAGGAGGAGGAGGAGGAGGAGGAGGAGGAGGGGAGGAGGACCTCCTCCCCCTCCTACTTGTCATGGTGGTGGTGGAAAACAGGACCATCAGAGATGGCTCAACCGCACGCCCGAAGGGGGTGCTACAGCGGGCCCCTCGTCGGCGATCACGCTGGGCGCTGGGGCCGACGCCCCCGCCCGAGCCCGTCCTTCCCTTGGGTTGTCCGTTGGCTGTCGGACCAGGACTGGACCTGCCGCCGACCGTTCAGGACGACCCGGGCACCCCTCAGGGCGCTCCATGCGAGACGCGGCGGCTGGAACGCACCCCATGGGGGAAGCCGCCGAGAGCCAACGAGTATGCCGGAAGACGAAAATCCTGAAACATTTTCCCGGCGGGGTCGAGCACGCAAAGTCCCCTCGGATCCCGAGGAGAGCCCGAATCGATCGATAAGTCGGATCGGCGATCGAATTGACTCGGGTCGGCGGAAATCGGCAGCCACGTTGGGAGAAGTCGAATCGGCGGAAATCGGAAGGCTAGTGAAGCCTCAATCGAGAAACCCAGATCGCCATCGGAACCCGAAGCCGAATGGAAATGGAGTCGGAATCGATCGTGAACGGATCGAGTCGAGTCGGATGATCAAGTAGAGCCCGCGAAATGGTCCCCGCGATGCCGTTCCCCTCCAGTCAGGGGCAGGCACAAGGGGGGCTGGCTCAGGGACGGAAGCATCGACCTGGAATCGGCGATACACCGGCGATAGGCCCCCCGATGGCGAATCCGAACGTTCCCACGCGGGGCAAGGACGGAAGCATCGACCTGGAATCGGCGATACACCGGCGATAGGCCCCCCGATGGCGAATCCGAACGTTCCCACGCGGGGCCGGGCCATCAGAGCCCCGTGTCGGCGATCAGCGGGCGCTCGGGGGCCGACGCGCGTTCCCCCACGAGCCCACTTCCCCCCCTGGCGTTGCACCTCGGCTTCGAGCCTGCCTTCGAATGACCTCGCGATGACGGGCGTGATCGGGACGGGGGGCACACCCGGCGAAATGCTTAAGAAATCATGGGTTAAGAAATTCATAATCTCAGAATCTGAAAAGAAACCCAGAACTTCTATCAACATCTTGGGATTTACATTGTAAAGTTAAGAATAATCGAGACTCTGGACGAACACTTAGGTTTTCTTAAGCATCGCCTAGGGGGTATTCGCCCCCCCCCCGATCGCATCGATCACACCGCGGCGGGGGGCCGCCGTGCACACCGCGAGAGCATGCGCGAGAGCGCCTGCGAGAGCGACGGCGCGCCAGAGAGCATCGCGTCTGGAGGCCTGGAAATGGGCACCAGCCCCAGCACAAGGAGTTGCCTCCACCCTGGGAAGATGGTCCTAGATTGTGGTGTTGGTGGTAATCTTTCTGCCACCCGGGAAGCCCGAGTACTACCATCACCGCTGAGATCGGGATCATCTTCCCTCAGTGGATGCACACCAACGATACTGCTGTTGGTGCCAACCTTTCGGCCTGCGGCACGTTGACCACAAGACGGCGCACGCCTGAGAGCGGCGCAGCGTGCTTGCCAGGCGGACGAAGGCCGACTCATCGACCGAAGACTCGCCGCCGCTCGCCTCCCGGGGGCTTCCGGGGGCGCCGCGGCCCCCATGAATGCCCCAAATCCGCCGCCGACGACATGTCAAAAAAAAATACGCACGCACTCCCCCTCCTTGCTCCTCCCTTTTCCTCCTCGTTTCTCCCTCGTCTCCTTTCTCTCTCCCCCCCGCTCCTCGCCCCAGAGATCGGGGTCCTTTCCCCAAAGGCACCCCTTTGCTTTCGGCCTCCCGGGCCGCGGAAGACAGCGAAGACGACGAATTCCTACGAACTCTGTAGGATCTTTGAGGAGTCCTCGAAGAATCCCTGGGACGTCTTTGCAACATGTGGGCACAATAGCGTGACGTGATCTGGGGGAGGGGGGGAGAGGGCCGATCACGGCCGCATCGCTCAGACCTCAACACCACCATGCTCTTCAGGACCATGACTCGGGTCTCCGGCGGCCCTTCGGGACGGTCTGGGCACCCCCGGGGACGCTCTCGGCGAGGCGCGTCTGCTGGAGAACATCCAGAGGCTGGAACACCGCTAGGGACCGACGAAACCTTACGAACACCTCCAAACTCGCACCTCGAAACCTCGACCCCCACCCCTCTGAGCCTACACCCTGCGAAATGCTTAAGAAATCATGGGTTAAGAAATTCATAGTCTCAGAACTTGAATAAAAACCCAAAATTTCCATTCAAACCTTAGGGTTTACCTTAAAACGTTAAGAATAATCGAGACTCTGGCCGAACATTTAAGATTTCTTAAGCATTGTCTAAGGTGTATCCCCCCCGTTCCTGCCAACCTTCCACAAGGGGGGCGGCGCGCCTGCTTCTGCACCTGCACCACCGTCCGCAGCGGACCGTCGAAAGCGCGCGGGGGCATCCTGGCGCCCGCGAGCCTCTGCCGCTCCAGCATGATCCTCCGCCCGCGGAGCAGGGGAGGAGCCCTTCCCCATCCTCTCTTCCTCATCCTCCTCCCTCCTCTCTCTCCTCCTCCTCCCTCCTCCTCCTCCTCCCTCCTCCCTCTCTCTCTCCTCCTCCTCCCTCCCTCCCTCCTTATCCTTCCTCCTCCCTCCTCCCTCCTCCCTCCGCCCTCTCTTCCTCCTCCTCCCTCCTTCTCCTCCACCGCAAACCCATCGAAACCCAAGAAAACATCTAGGGCACCCTGGAAGCGAAGAGGGTGCTTCTTGGCAGGGGTCCCCAATGCAGTCATCACCCCCCTCTTGGCCGCCCCCGGGATCGGGATCGTTCTCCCTCGGTCGCGGCACACCGTCGGTGCTGGCGCAGGCCTCCGCCTTCTGGCCCCGCTCCAGTGCAGCAGACGGTGCACACTTCTGTGCTCAGCTCTGAAAGGACTCCTCACTGTGCACCGCGCCATTCCTGGGCCGAGGGCTGAGGTAGGGGAGGCCACATGCGAACCCTGCCCCGCCCCCCCCCGCCCCAGAAGTCGTGGGGTGGTGGGATCGGGCTCGCACGTGGCCTCCTGCGAGGCTCGACGACATCTCAGGAGACGCCTCCAGGGCACGGTGCGCACCCAGTCGTCCGCGGATCGTCGCCAGCCCGGGGCCTGTGCGGCATCGCTCGCGTCGGGGCGGCCCGCCGCATGGGCCTCTCGACACGGCGCGGGCCTCGGCCGGCCGCGGCCGTCCGACAGCGTAACTCGCAACCAGTCCGTCCGACAGGAGGAGGAGGAGGAGGGGGAGGAGGAGGAGGAGGAGGAGGAGGAGAAGGAGGAGGAGTGAGGAGAAGGAGAATAAGGACGAGGAGGAGGAGGACGAGGAGGAGGAGGAGGAGGATGAGAAGGATGATGAATGATGATGTGATTGATGATGATGATGATGAATGATGATGATAAAATGATGATGATGGTGAGGAGGAGGAGAGAGGAGGAGGGAGGAGGAGGGAGGGAGAAGGGAGGAGGGAGGAGGGAGGAGAGAGGAGGGAGGAGGGGGGAGGAGGGAGGAGGAGGAGGAGGAGGAGGAGGAGGAGGAGGAGGAGGAGGAGGAGGAGGAGGAGGAGGAGGAGGAGGAGGAGCAGGGGGAGGAGGAGCAGGGGAGGGAGGAGGGGGAGGAGGGAGGGGGGAGGTGGAGGATGAGGAGGAGGAGGATGAAAAAGGAGGAGGAGGAGGAGGAGAAGGAGGAGGAGAAGCGTCCAGGCCGCCCGGCGCGCGGGCCTCTCGCCGCGGCGCGGGCCTCGGCCGGCCGCGGCCGTCCGACAGCGCAGCTCGCCACGCCGTCGGCCTCGACCGCCCGCGCCGGGGCCGCCGCGCGTCGGCCCGGCGCGCGGAGCTGCTGCACAGGCCACCCGCACCAGGAGGCTGCGCGAAGGGGGAGGAGGAGGAGGAGGAGGCGGAGGAGGAGGAGGAGGAGCGAAGCGTACGACGAGGAGGAGGAGGAGGAGGAGGAGGAGGAGGAGGAGGAGGAGGACGAGGAGGAGGAGGAGGCTCGCCGGGCGAGGAGGCGGAGGAGGAGGAAGAGGAGAGGGAGGAGGGGGAGGCTCGCTGGGCGAGGAGGAGGAGGATGTAAGAATGCGAGGCAAGGGTGCTAGGGCCTTGGGGACCCATGTGAGCGTTCTTCGAGCGAGGTCGGCCAGCGAAAGTCGCCAAGGATGGGCCGAAGGGCCAGGGATTCAAGGGTCCCCCTGGGCAGGTTGCCCATCCTTAGCATGCGGGCTGACTGCAGTGGAGCGCCTGCCCCATCGCCCGAGCCGCTCGCGACGGCTCCCAGCTCCACAGCGAACTCGCTGCGGTCGGTGGCCACCACCACCCTAGGTTAAGCTCTGGAAGGCCCCTCGGAGCCGTGCCAAGAGCGGGGAGGAAACATTCCTCCCGTTCCTTCAGGGCACGGTCCCCTTCCCAAGAGGAAGAGCGGCAGCTGGGGACGAACGCGCCGCGTAGAGGCCTCCCAGATGGAGTCCGAGTAGATGGGGTCGGAGGATCGCGCCGCGTCGCTAATGCATCGATGACGTCGGCGTGAGAAAACACGGGCTCCACATCGCACCCCATCTACTCGGACCCCAGCTGGGAGTCCTAGAAGAACGGCAGCCGGGGACAAGTTCGCCGAGCGCGTCGCCGCGTCGGGCTACTTCGGGGGGGTGCTTCTAGAGGAGTGCCCAGGGGGTTCCAGGGCCACCCAACTCCGAACGCTATTTTTTTCCCCAGCCACGCCTGGGGTTTGGCCTGGCCGGGTTGCCTCGGGGCCGGGGGCCGGCGGAAGCACGTGAATGGTATATGTATTAAGCAAATGATTGTATTTTACTTCAAGAAGCCGTCTTGGATCTTCCATGGGAGATTCCCTAAACCGTCCTGAAGCCCCAATAAGGTTAGAATGGCAATCTCCGCCCACGCAGTTTCGCCGATCCCCACCCCCGCCTCCGCCCGCGCACCTCCGCCCGCCACGTCCCGCTTGCTGCTCCTTCTCCTTCTCCGTCTCGACCTCGACCTGCATCTCCTCTTCTTCCTTATCCACCGCGTGATCTGCCTCCACATCCGCCTCCACGTCCTCTATGCTCTCTGTTCCGCAGTGTCCTCCTCTTCCTCTTCTTGATCCCCCTCTTCCCAACCCTCATTTTCATATTGATTCAAAAGCTTTTCGGCCCCATGCAGGACATTAATGGATCCTCCGCCCCTTCGGGGGCTTCTGGGTGTCCAGGCGAACCTTGGAGCACTCGCGACTGCGCTGTGTACCGCGCGCAAGCAGGCCCCCTCCTTTCTTCCCCCTCCACCTACTCGACTTCCAACTCTGAGGGTGCGCCTGGTCACCATCGCCCCCGTCCTACCACGCCCCCGCGTCTCCTCGCTCCATCGCCAACGCACCTCGGGCCATATCCTGAACGAGAAGTCCCGCCGCTGCCCCCCCATACAGCGTTCTCACCGCCCTCCCCCACTACCACTCCTCACCTCACCTCTCCTCCCCCTCCCCCGCCCCTTCTCCGCTCTCGGAAATCCAAACTGCCACCAGCGCAGTCTCCTCTCCGCTCTCGGCGCAGTGTAGATCGACACTCGGGGCCGCAGTGGGCAAAAAACGCAATGTTGATCTACACTGGGGCGCCGCGATGGGCAAAGGCGCAATGCAGATCTACGCAATGGAGCTGGACAGCGATCTACGTTAGACCCACCTCAGTGTAGATTTCGCAAAGCCAACGCAACAAATCCACACTAGCACAATCCTAGCGAAGATCTGGGGGACCCCGAACAAATCTACATAAGCCAAATGCTAAACACGCGCCGCGCCAAAATCCAATTTACACACGCGCTAATGTAGATAAGCGCCGGGTAAACAAAGAAGACCAAACGACAGTGTAGATCTACGGTAGGGACACTGGAAGCGGCAAACACCAGTGTAGATCCACACTGAGCGTTTCGCCTGAGACATCCTCGAACAAAAATGGGATGCGCCAAGAGCTCATGTAAGGCATCTTTTCGGAGCGATCTCGGATGACCTCCAAGATGGCCCAAGAAACGAAAGTATTCAGAACAACCCTATTTTGTAGTAACAATTTCGTTTTAGAATCAGCGTTGCGCTCGAGACATCCCCGCAACAAATCCTTCGAACGGGCCCTCGAAACCATCTGGCTTCCTCCTCCTCCTCGACCTCCTCGACCTCCTCCTCCTCCTCCTCCTCCTCCTCCTCCTCCTCCTCCTCCTCCTCTTCCTCCACCACCTCCTGGTCGCGGACAACAGCGACGACGACGAATTCCTGGGAACCCCTTGAGATTCTCTGGACCCCCTGGACGATTCCTTGAGACATGCGGGGAAAACAGCGTGACGCGGCGACGCATCGGCGACGTCGGCGTGGAGAAACTTGGGCTCCACATCGAGCCGCATGGCTGATGCATCGCCGATGCATCGGCGATGCGGCGTGATCCTCCGACCCCATTTACTCGGACCCCATCTATAGGGGGAAAACGAACTTACCTCGCTTTTGACCACCCTCGCTTCCAAGAGATACCAAACGATGCCAAACTGCTGCCTGTACTGGTCAGGCCGCTTGACGAGGAGGCGCGTGGTATGGCTTGGTTTTGCCTGGAAGCGAAAGCGGGGTAGGTAATTCACGCTCCGAATCTAGGAGGCCTAGAAGGGAGGGCAAGGATGCGGCCCCGGCCCGCCCGGCCCTTGGCGGCGGCGGCGGCGAGCAGCGCCAGCACGGGCACGGGCGGCCGCGCGCCGCCGTGCCGCTGCCGTCGAGCTCTCTCCCCTGGAGGCCGGCAGGGACCACGACGACGACGACGACGACGACGACGATGCCGATGCCAACGCCGACGCCGACGCCGACGCCGACGCCGACGCCGACGCCGACAACGACGACGCCGACGCCGACGCCTACGCCGACGCCGACGCCGACGCCGACGCCGACGCCGACGACGACGACGACGACGACCACGACGACGACGACGACGACGACGACGACGACGACGACGACGACGACGACGACGACGACGACGACGACGACGAGGCGGCGGCGGCGGCGGCGGCGGCGGCGGCCCGCCCGGCCCGGCGAAGCCGCCCGGCCCCTGCTGGCGGGGTGGGGCAGCGGCGGCCCGGCGGTCGCATGAGCTGGAGGAGGAGCAGAGGAGGAGGAGGAGGAGGAGGAGGGGGAGGAGGAGGAGGAGGAGGAGGAGGAGGGGGAGGCGGAGGATGAGGAGGATGAGGAGGAAGAGGAGGAGGGAGAAGGGGGACAAAGGGACAAGCAGGGGATGATGAGTCAGAGAAGATGGAGGCGGGACGGGGGAGGGATAAGCAGAAGGAGGCGACGGACGAGGAGAACATGAAGGACAACGTTAGATCAGGAGCCGGATGGAGGAGGAACGGAAGTAGGGGGGAGGACGAGGAGGGATGAATGACGAGCCGAAGGGAATAAGCAGATAGCACGAGGGCGAGAGGATGTGGAGGAAGGAGGAAGGAGAGATGCGAAAGGAGAGGAGGGGAACGGGGGAGGGGAATGGAAGGGAGCGGGGGTGTAGGGAGGAGGAGGGGAGCAATGCGAGCACGATGGCGACGACCAAGACGAGGATGACAAGGGCTGAGGACGGGGGGGAGGTGGTCCTGGAGTGAACGCACGTCTTGCGCTTCTCCACCAGTACGGGGGACGACTGGGTCCTGGACATTTGCCGGCGGGTGCCTCCCTCACTCCCTCCCTTATCCTCCCTCCACCGCGTCCGCCAAACCCTCGCATCCTCCTCCTCATCCCCTCCACCGTCTCCTCTGCCTCCTTCCTCGTGCTGCCTCTTGTCCCTCACGTCTCCCCACTCCACCTGCTCGTTTTCCTCCTCGTTCTCCTCGTTCTCCTCCTCCTCCTCCTCCTCCTCCTCCTCCTCCTCCTCCTCCTCCTCCTCCCCCTCCTCCCCCTCTCCCATCCTCCCTCCTTCGAGTCTCCTACACCACGTTGCGCCCGAGCGGCCCGCGTGGGGAAACGCCTATGCCTCGAAGGACCAGAGGCAGCAAGGGCAACAACCTCAATCGGGAACCTCCGTCTCGGTGCAGGCCTAGCCGCTCGTTCGAGTGGCGCGTGGTTCACATGAGCCGTGTCCGTGGCGCTGGCGTCGGCCAATATGCTGTATTTGAGGCGCCCCAACCGTCGACTCGCTCGGCGGCATCGCCGATGCAGTTCTCCTCCTCCTCCTCCTCCTCCTCCTCCTCCTCCTCATCCTCCTCCTCCTCCTCCTCCTCCTTCTTCCCCCTCCTCCTTCTCCCCTCCCCTCCTCCTCCTCCTCCTCCTCCTCCTCCTCCTCCTCCTCCTCCTCCTCCTCCTCCTCCCCATCGAAGGTCCACAAACGGGGGGCAACAAACGTGGGGTGAAGAAAGGTGCGCCTTTCGCCCAGCTCTGGCGCCCGCGGTGGCGCTTCAGGCAGCATGCAGGGTCGCTGTCCTGCAGTCCTCGATCCCTCCACGATCCTCCGGCTCCTCCTGCTCCTCCTGCTTCTCCCCCTCCTGCTCCTCCTCTTCCTGCTCCTCCTCCTCCACCTCCTCCTCCTCCTCTTGCTGCCTCCCTGGTCCTGGATATTGCCAGCGGGTGCTTGCTGAGGTGGGGCATGCTGAACATGGGGGTCTTGCCGACCGACCAGAGCTCGCTATGCAGGGGGCTCGCCTGTGCGGTGGACAGGGCCTCCATCCATCCTCGCTCCCCCAGCAAGGCGAGGAGGTTAGAAGGAAGGGAGGAGGTGGAGGAGGAGGAGGGATGCTTGTTCGAAGTCGATGCTTGTCCGAAGTCGAACTCAACGCTCTCGAGTGGGACTACTGTCGATTGCCCACCATTGGCACGGTGGCTTTCAGAGGAAAACCCCTGCGCGATCAATCCATCGCGCGATTGCCCTGTGGCATGAAGGAGCCGGAGACAGGACAAACGCTCCCCTTTGACTGCATTTGGGGAAAAGCACCGCCAGACCCGCAGGGCAGTTAACATCGCAGGATCACCGTCTGCCACTTTCAAGCTGAATTCGATGCAAGGGTGCCAGAGCGAATCATGGTCGCCAGTGGTCCTGACTCCTCTCGCAAGGGAAAAACAAGTATTGCTAAAGGTTGTTACTGGTAGTTGTTGTCCCTGTTAGTGATGTCCAGCCTGCCCGAGAGTGCGAGAACATATCCCCACCTACCCACAATCAACAACCATCTATCATTATCCGCACGTCCAACTTTGATCCCCTTCTCTCGCCTCGCCCCCTAGAACCTAGAACCCTCGGGGGTGACTTGCTGGGAAGACATCGATGTCGCTACTCCCCAGGCCTCTCCTGGAATTTCGAGGTAAGGATTCCGATTGGGTCTGACTCGGACTTCGAGGCGACGCCAACAGCAGCGACGAGGGCTCTGCAAAACGCCAAGAAAACAACAATACCCACATCCCGTCCTCAAACTGCCACTCTCCCGCCCCCGCCCCCGCCCTCTGAAGAACCGATCTTGGCGTGACGGGGACGGGTCTGGAGGGAAACGGGTCCTGGGCCCAAGGACCAGCTATCAATTCATGGACACAGTCCGATAATATCGGGCCCTGGACGAAACCCGAGAGCCCGTCAAGTGTCGACAAAAACGCGGTGACCATTTCCCTCATGACCCGCTGGTTGCATGGCGACTACAGCTCGAGCTCGCCCCTGTTCCCCCAGCTGGACGGACTTTGTCCATGAATGAGGGAACGAAGAATGACAGAAACATAAAAACTCGGAGGTCCGCGCGGATTTCTCGGATCCGCGCTGGACCCCCCTGGCGGCGCCTCCGGCGCTGCCCCTGGCGCGCTCCGCGCGCCAGGGAGGGGGGTCCAGCGCCGATCCGAGAACTCCGCGCGGACCTCCGAGTTTTTATGTTTATGTCATTATTCGTTTCCCAACTGAATGTCCAGCCTGTCCGACAGTGCGAACACATATCCCCAACAACCCACAACCACCAGAAATGAACATGGCACGCTCCCAGCTTCAATCCCCTCTGCCATTCCCACCTGTCGCCCTGCCCCCTGCCTGCCCCCCCCCCTTCTGTGGGCGACCTGAACAACTACAAAAAGGCATGCGTTCTGCTACTCTGAGGTCGGACCAAAATCGTGCCTATACTATGTTTTGTCTATGTTTGAATATTCCTCTTGTAGAGACCCAGGCACGACTTAACACTGGTCCACGGGCATCTCCGGGTTGCCTTCGGACTGGGATCTCGAATGCAAAAAGCCAGCAGTGGCCGCGAGGGCCCTGCAGGACGCCCCACAACAAGCGACAAGCGAGAACGGAGGACCTAAAGGGGGAGCATCTTGGAGGCGGTCTGGGGTTATGCTGTTCCCATCGTACTTGAGGACCCCATCCTACACATAGTTTCGAGCTCCCAGAAAGTATTGAAACAGTGTCGAACGAATATCGCCTCCCGGGGCCCGACACGTGAAAACCCTCCAGTTTCGGTGCTTTCTCGGTGCTCGAAATTCTCCCTGGTGAACAAGGCGTAGGTAGGTTGGAACGTCACAACTCCATGCAACTCCACGGGCCTCTCCCAGGGTGCGTTCTGACTGGGATTTCGGAGGCAAGCCCAGCAGTGGCGACGAGGGGCCTGCAGGACGCCCAAGCAGGCGAGCACAGAGGACACAAAGTGGAACACAGAGGACACAAAGTGGGAACATCTTGGAGGCGGCCTGGGGATCCAGGGGTCCATCTGGTGAAATGCTTCTCAGAGCGTGAATTACCTCCCCCGCTTTCGCTTCCAGGCAAAACCAAGCCATACCACGCGCCTCCTCGTCAAGCGGCCTGACCAGTACAGGCCGCAGTTTGGCATCGTCTGTATCTCTTGGAAGCGAGGGTGGTCAAAAGCGAGGTAGGTTTGTTTTCCCTCGAGCTTCGCCCCCTGAGCCGTCTTTCACGGTCGTGGGGCGCGCACGCGGCCCCCGGGAGGCGGAGTAGGGCAGAGCAGCCTTCCCGAACCCAGAACCTCGAACCTGCCGGCGCTTCCTGCTGGCCCGAACCAGCGCTGGGCCACCTCGTACCCCCATGATGAGCAATAACAGCATCTACCCCCAACAATTTGGGAGGGGACCTAAGTTGGGAGGACCTGAAACGTTAGGGACAGGGGGCTCCTGTTCTGCAGATGTATCAGACCAGACCGCCCAGATCTATGATCCCCCATGCGAGGACGGGGACCTCAATTAGGCCACGCCTTCAGTGTGTTACTAGAAGTACCGAGTTTCTGAATCAGCGTCCCGCATCGACCCCCGTCGCGGGCAGCCACCGCGCGCCGAAGGCGCTCCGACCCCCGTCGCGGCGCGACGCCGAGGCGAGGCTGACCCCGCGTCGGGGTGGTACCCCCGCACGCTTCTCGAGAAACCCAATGAGCAAGGGTTCTTTGATCTTCGAACCATGACCCCAGGCGGCTCCCGGGAGCCGCCCCGCCCCCGCCCTCCCTCCGCGCAGGCCTGGGGCCGGGGAGGAGGAGGAACGAGGAGGAGGAGGAGGAGGAGGAGGAGGAGGAGGAGGAGAGGTAGGAGGAGAGCAGGAGGACAGGAGAGGAGGAGGTGAGGAGGAGGAGAGGAGGAGGAGGAGGAAGGAAAGGAGGAGGGAGGAGGGGAGGGGGAGGTGGAGGGGGAGGAGGAGAAGGAGGAGCGGAGGAGAGCCGAAGGAGGAGAGGACAGGAGGAGGAGGTGGAAGGAAGGAGGAGGAGGAGGGATGAGGAGGAGGAGACCCCCCTTCGAGCACGCGGGAGCCGTGCCAGGGGGGGGGGGGCGCTGTCCCTGGGGCCCGCGCCTCCCTGCCGGGGGCAGAGGGGAACAAACAAGCGCAACCGCGCACCACCACGGGCCACCAGGGCGCACGAGCAGCGATGCCCTCCTCCTCCTCATCCCTCCTCATCCTCCTCCTCCTCCTCCTCCCTCCTCCTCCTCCTCCTCCTCCTCCTCCTCCTCCTCCGCCTCCATTCCTTCTCCTGACAACTACCTCCTCCGTGTCGCACATCGAGGCCAGCTTTTAGGGTGGGCCGGGCGTTTCGCCTGAGACTTCCTCACCACTTATGACCGTGAAGCTTCAGCATTGACAACAATTTCACAGATGAAGGGCGGGTGGTATTCAAAAAGTGGTTCTCGCCTTAGCACCGCACACATTCGCTTTCAACACGTGCAAGAGTTTCACGGATTGATGGCGGGCGGCTTTCAACATGTGGCTCTCGCCTTAGCACCGCGCCCACTCGTTTTCAAACATTGCAAGAATTTCACGGAGTGAGGGCGGGTCGATTTCGAAATGTGGCTCTCGCCCTAGCGCCGCGCTCATTCGTTTTAAACATTTGCAAGAGTTTCACGGATCGAGGGCGGTTCCTATTCAAACTGTGGCTCTCGACTTAGCGCCGCGCACATTCTGGTTGAACAACTGCAAGGGTTTCACGTATTCCCATGATCGACGTACCACACATGGCGTCTTGGAAGAATTCACGACAATGAGGGCGCAATATATACGATTATACGCATCGTTGAAGTCCCAGAGGAATGGCGTTCTGGCACGATTCAGGATCGTCAAGACGCAACAGTCAGGTTTATCCGTATTCCGAAAACAATGTTGTGGCATGATTCAGGGTCTTCCAGAGGTTGTCTTCCAACGAGACAGGTCCCTCTGTGGAAATGATCCGTTCTAGGGGCCTATGAAGAGGGATCTTGGAGGGAATGTTTATTCCAACATTGTTGGTGACACTTGGGTTTACACGGTCCTCCTCCTCCTCCTCCGCCTCCTCCTCCTCTTCCTCCGTCGCCCAGCGGGAGGAGTCACGGGGGGGCTTCTTGGAGGGCCCCAAAAGAGCTTCTGATCAGCGCCCCTCTAACGGGGACTCCACCAACGGGCACCTTTGGCCAGAGACCCAGCCCCCAACCCTCTCCGACGTGGGCAACGCTGCAGTGCCAGAAAGAGGCTCTCAAACGGCAACTCTCGGCAAATCTCCAAAAGAACCCGTTAGTGACTACTCGTTACGGTGCCGCTGATCTGCGAAGGCTTCCTAGGAACAAGGATCAAGGAGGGCTTCCGAGAAGCAACCTGCCTGCTACAGAAGGCCCCGGCTTCTTACAAGGGACGAAAACACCAAAACCGCAATGAGATTTGGGGACCCTCAGGCTCCCAAGAAGGACCACACAAGGGGGGTCCCCAAGTGGCGTGGTCCCCCCCTCCCGCTCGAGACGTCCCCTCTGGGCTCAGGGATGCATCGTGGACCTCCTCGGTGGAGGTGGCCCCCTGGTGGCGGTGTTTCCAGCCACGCGATGGCTTGACCAATACTGGGTCCCCAGGAGCCCCGACCCCTTCCGCCAGACCACTTCTTCACTCTGAGGACCCACAGTGGCCGAACACCGAGAAAACCCGCGCGCCCTGATGTTTCACAACACGAGCCTGTCCGGGTCGCTTCTGAGCGGGCCAGTGTTCCACCACCGCTGCGGGAGAAGGGAGAAGGGAGGTCCTCCTCCTCCTCCTCCTCCTCCTCCTCCTCCTGCTCCTCCTCCTTCTCTCCTCCCTCCTTCCTCTCCTCCGCCTCCTCCTCCTCCTTCATCAACTCCTTCTCCTCCTCCTTCTCCTCCTCCTCCTCCTCCTCCTCCTCCTCCTGCCCACCGCCCCGAGCACCTCGGGAGCTCGGAGGGGGGGGGGGCGCCTGGCTGACGCCGCCCACCCCGTCGCTGGCGCCGACGACCTCTCTGGGGGGGACCGCACGGCGAGGGCGCGGGGCCGTGGCCTTCTTGGAGGCGGCAGGGCAGCTTTCGCCGTCTCCACAAATCGAAGGACTGCAAAAAAAAACCCAGGATTGCAAACAAAATCCAGGATTGCAAAAAAACCGAAGGATTGCACGAAGGATTGCAAAACAAACCGAAGGATTGCAATCCTTCGGTTTTTTGTTTGCAATCCTGTTTTTTTTGCAATCCTGTTTTTTTTGTTTTGCAATCCTGGGTTTTTTTTTGCAATCCTTCGATCTCGAGAACGAGAAACCATAAAAAAAACTCGCCAGACCGGAAACTGGTCCCGGCGAGGGACCCAAACATGGTGCAGTTGGGAGCGCCCTCGTTTCGGGCATCGCCCTCGGGGGATCTCTTCGTGGGGCCACGACGCATGTGAAGGGTGTGCCGATAATGAGCGGGACCGCCATGTGGGCGCTGCCACTGGGGCCTTCGGTGGAAGCCACTATGGGGCCGCGAAACGTGTGAGGTGTCGTCGGTGAAGCTCCCAGTGGGGCCACGAAGATCAGTACTGGGTGGGGGAGACGCGTGCGAACACCGCCGCTGAAGCCTTCGGAGGAACTCCCTTTGGGGCCACGAACCGCTGCACTGGGTGGGCGAGACGCATGCAAACACCGCCACTGGGGCCTCCCGTGGAGCTCCGTATGGGCCGCGGCACGCTGCACTGAGTGGGGGATACGCATGCGAACTCGGGGACCTTCTGACCCGGGTCAATCCAGACTCGGGTCAGTCAGGCCTTTCAGAATCCTGCAAGGTCCTGCACCCAAGCCTGGGTCAATGCGCAGGATGCTGCAAGATCCTGCACGGTGCTGCACCCAAACCCGGGTCTTTGCGACCCTGGCCCTTCAGGATCCTAAAGATCTGGCGCTCTGGCTGACCCCCGATTGCATTTACCCCCGTCTCTTGAGCCCCGACGAACACCGCCAGATGTCTTCGGTAGAGCTTCCTATGGGGCCTGGAAGTGCTGTGCCGGGTGAGGCAGACGCGTGCGAACATTGCCACTGAAGCATTCGGAGGAGCTTCCTGTGGGCCAGCGAAACACTGAGCTGCGTGGGAAAAAAAGCACGCAAACACCGCCACAGGGGCCCTCGGTGGGACCCTGTATGGGGCCACGAAGCGTTGTACTGGGTGGGGGAGACGCATGCGAACACCGCCACTGGGGCCTTCGGTGGAGTTTCCTATTGGGCCACCGAACATCGCCTCTGGGGCCTTCGGTAGACTTCCCTATGGTGTACAGGGTGGGGGAGACGCATGCGAACACCGCCACTGGAACCTTCGGTGGAGTTCCTTAATTATGGGGCCACGGGACGCTGTGCTGGGTGGGGGAGACGCATGCGAACACCGCCACTGAAGCATTCGGAGGAGCTATGGGCCACGAGGGGCATCCGGGGAGCAGCGCTCCGTACCCGCGGGGGGCCGCGGCCCGGGGGTCCCATCCGCGAAGCCGCAGATACGGAGATGCTCTTCACCCGCGAGATACCACCCGCTTCCCGAGAAGGCGGCGGGGCTTCTCGAAAGATACGGAGATGCTCTTCACCCGCGAGATACCACCCGCTTCCCGAGAAGGCGGCGGGGCTTCTCGAAAGCCCTCTGGCCTTCTGATGAGCCGCCTCTGTCTTCGGGGAAGGCTCAGAGCACTTCTCAGAAGGCCAGGGGCCCTCCGAGCCTTCTGAGGAAGCCCGCCCCCTCGCTGACGCCTGGTGCTTTTTGAGCCCAATCTCTGCTCTCTGACGGCCGTTCGGGACGCTCCGGGCACCCCTGGAACGCCCTCGGCGAGGCGCAGCTGCTGGAAAGCACCCCGAGGCTGGAAAACCGCCGAGGACAGACGAAAGCACCGAAAACTTGAACCTCGAACACCTTCGGTGGCAACTCATGGGAGACTCCCGTACAATCTTGTCGGCTCTTGCGAATCGACGCTGGTCGACGCCATCCGACGCTAATCAACGCTAAGTCGTCGCTAATCGACGCTAGCCGACACAAGTCGACGCTAAATCGACGCTACGCTACTCGACGCTGGCCGACGCTAGCCGACGCCAAACCGGCGCTGTCCCACCAACTACCAGACGCAAATCGACGCTAGAGACAGAACTACAGTGGAGGCCAGTCCACAAGAAACCTTCCACAAGAAACCCGACCCTGGGACCCCAGGACATCCATTGATTTTTGGTGTGGGAACGTCACGCTTTCGACAGCAAAACCATCGAAACCCAAGAAACCCAGGGCACCCTGGAGGCAAGCAGGGTGTCTCTTGGCATGGGTCTCCACTGTAGGGTGCAATATGGGCACAAAGCCAGAACAAGCCAACGACATGTGACATCAGATGCCGGATCGCCTGGGCCAAGGACGTCCCCAGCCTGCCCCCCGGGATGCCGCGAGAGAGAGAGGGCCAGAGCCCCAACCGCCCTCTCGGGCGTGGGATCTGGGGAGGCCCGAGCAGTCCCGCCCCCAATCCACGTCACGCTTTCGAGGTCAAGCAGGGTGTTTCTTGGCATGGGCCTCCAGGCCCTCCACTTTACAAGGCTCCCATGGCTTGCCGCCGACCCAACCGACTCCGTGAGGCCCCCCTGCTACCCACCGAGGCCCCGCCCTCCTCGTGCCGCGCCCCGTTGCCGGCGCCGCAGGGCCTCGCTGCTTGCGTCCTGGCCCGCGGGGGGCGGGGGCGGGGGGGAACCCGCCTCTGCACGCCACCGCCGCGCCCAGCGCGGACCACCCTGGGGCCGCTTCCTGTGAGGAAAATCCTGGAGGCCTCGCGCGGCAACTTGAGACCCGATTGACGTCAGATCCACGTCGGACTTACGTCGGGTTTACGTCGGACTACGTCGGATTGACATCGGATTTACGTCGGACTGACTCTGGAGCATCGCCGCGCGAGCGTCTACCCATAGCTTACTGAACTGACAAGTGGACTAGAGCATACTACTAGTACGCGCCGCGTGAACCCTCCTGGATTTTCTTCATAACGCCTTCAACGGGTACCCCTTCCGAGCTAAGGTTGTTGAAGACGAAGCCAAGGCGAGGGTAAAATCGGGTACGGACAAATCGAGAATCTCTGAGCTCCAGCGCCTCCGGAGGACGTCTCGGGCGCCGCGGCCGTCTCAGAGTGTTCCCGAAAGCTCTGAGAACGTTATGGAACGCTCTGAACGGATTTATCCTCGTTCTAAACCCGTCCGAGGCGGTACCCCTGCCGAGCTGTTCGATGCTCAGTCTGGGGAACTTGTTGGAGCCTCTCGCTCCACTCGTGCGTCGAATCTGCGTCGAACATCAGTCGACTCGTGTCGAACAAGATTCGATTCTGAGTCGAAACCGAATCGAACTTGAGTCGAACCCGAGTCGAACCCGAGTCGAACTTGAGTCGAACTGGATTCGAACTGGACTCGAATTGGAATCGAGCTGGAGTCGAACTGGAGTCCAACAGATGAGTTACGCAGGTGGGCGCCAGGAAGGTCCCCGAAGCTTATGTTGCTCCCATCGAACTTAAGGACCACATCCCAGAAATAATTCCGAGCACCCAGGGAAAGTATCGAAACAGTGTCGAACGAGTATCGCCTCCAAGGGCCCGACACGTGAAAACCCTCAAGTTTCGGAATTGTCTCGGTGCTCGATCTGTTTCAGGTGGTCAAGGCTAAAGTAGGTTGGATCATCATAACCAGAAGCGAGCATCTGAGGCTGGGGCTCCGCCTGACCCTCGCCCCACCTGCGCAGACCCTGCTGGCTTCGGCAACGAAGGCGAGCGCACACACCGTGGAGGGTACCAAAGGTGAGGCCCGGCCAGCCGCTCTCCGGGCAGGGGCCACGCAGGAGTACTGACACTCCTCTTGCTCCTCCTCCTCCTAATTACTCCTCCTCCTCCTTCTCCTCCTCCTCCTCCTCCTCCACCTC